TCTTTTTAAAATCTAAGGTATGATTTATTTAAACAAAAATTAAGAGAAATATATTACAAGAAAAATATTATATATTTATGTGCTATATACTTTTATTTAAAGTTCTTCAATTATTTTCTTAAGAAAAAATCAACTCAAAATTTAAAAATAAATTTTGTTCGTTTAATCTGCAACACTGTATAATTGAGGGTTACGTAAAGAAGAAATAATGCAGGATCACGACCATTGGTCGAGTTAAAAGTTCGTGACATTGAAAATTGGTAGAATAACAGTTCTTCGCATCGATGCGAGTTTTATGCGTCCTACGCCATAGACATTCATTGGTCGTTACATTATTCGTTCAATACATAACGACAAACATGTTACATACGCATCCTGTCTCTATATAATCATGCTTTACGACTATATGACTGGTCGATGATTCAGACTGAGAAATACTTCAGACTGAGAACAACTATGAAATACGAAAAACATAATTTGTAACCGTTGTGCAAATAATTTAAATATAAAATATACGTTTCACATTGTCACAATATGTACTAAGATATTATTTAGACAATTTTAATAGTAATTGCTTTTTTAATAATATATTCAGCGAAAAAGAAGTATATTTCATATCAAATTATTTTCATATTAGCGAATATAGAACTTTTAGAAATGTCCTTGTAGATAAAACAAAATTAGTCTTATATTCGACACATTGCGTATTGCGTGTCAGTTAGAAATATTTTGTCCAACGATTGTAATACATATGTATGAAGAGATAATTATTGAATTATAAACTAAATAAAAATAAAAGTTTTTTCTTAGATAAAAAAATATATTTTTCTTAAATGAAGAATATTAAATAACAATATTATATGCTTTTTCCGCTTGAAGCGCTCTTATGTTGTCCAATAAACAGAAACGATTAATATAAATTTTATATTTTAACGACCAGTTCATAAAGAGCAATTAAACAATTGTTAAATTACATACGATATTCCCACATAAAAAATAAGACAAAGTCAGTACTTAATAGTGGAATGAAAAATACATTGTGAGTTAAGTTCTGTAGCAGACACTTTTGTCCGTCTCTTCGACCTTTTAATGATGGTCAAGGCCAATAGTAGATATGAGAAAGTGATTGAACTACGTCACAGAAAACGATTGAGTCTGGTGAATACCTTTCATCATTCCTTTTACTAAGTAAGAAAGTACATATGCTAGAACTTTCATATTACTTAATAAAAAAAACATCAAATAACATACATCCACATTATTAATAAAATAAGATAAAATTTTTAAAAAATATAGCCCATTAAAAACATTATATTCTATAATCAATATTAAAATATAATATATAACACTTCAAGAGTTGATTATTAAAAGAAAATTGTAATCAAAATATTATAGCATTAAACTATCGAATTTCATAAAACTGAATTTTTATTCTATAATAAAATTATTATAATATATTCTGTGGTATTTTATATAATATTCTATATAAATTTTTTATAATATTCTATAAAAATTATTATTTTTATCTATACGCATATCATAGATCATAACAAATTTTAAAGATTAAACTTTAAACTTGTTGCATTTGGCAATTTCCGAGAACATGATGAGCAACTTTCGATATTTGTGCACGGTTGAAGAATTCGTAAATCAACTTCCGCGACAGATGTAAATCAGATAAATCGTAATTTTGTTCCTCGAAAAAATAAACAGTATGACGCATTTTACGTTCGTTATGCTACAAATCATACACACATAAATCGCAGCCTTCATATTTCTGATAAGTACGACATAACGTTCTTGTTCTCTTACGTATAAAATCTCCAGAATATCAATTATTCTCGATTTATTAATCATTCAAGCATCGTGACAAAATAATTTACGAGGCCTGACTGTTCTTAAAAATGTCAAAACCGTCCTAGATAAGCAATTATGATATCGCTTCTTAATTTTGCGAATTCTAAAAAAGTTACGCAATAATTAATTAATAATATAATAATAGAAAAGGCACATGAGAAAATAAAAATTGATATTAACATAAATAAGGGAATTTAACAAAGGGATATTAACATAAATATTCATAATTTGTTTGAAAGTAACAGCAAAATATTCAGAAGAACTATTAAAACAATTTGTAATAAGGATCACTAGTCTTTATATATCGCAAGCATGTTAACAACTTCGTCTAATAGCAATTATATCTAAATATGTAAATAGCAATTATATTTAAGACAATTATATGTAAGACAATTATAAAGAGTCCCGACGATATTATGTAATGTTATTGGGATAATGAGCCAAGAAACCGGAGCATATAATATGTGACACAAACACGATTTTGTCCTGAGGAATCTGTTGACAAGCCGTGACCGTGCGAAAGTGACAGCGGGATATATGCTTTGCGAATTGCACCCCAGCGCACAAGTACTGGAAATGCATTCATTATTCAAGAATATCAGGGGAAGGGTGAAGGGAATCGATGTATGTGACCTAAAGCTGTCTACGCGATCGTTAGGCGCGATAACCACAAGACGACGAGTATGTACTTTTTCAACGCTACGAGTAACAATCGAAGAGATTACAGTTATTCAAGCCTTATTTCCTAAAGGCGTATAATATACGCATTGATTAATGATACGTAATATAGTGAACGAGTGTATCGCAATCTATGAATAATCATATTAGAAGAATCACATAAGAAATCTTTTTGTATATTATAAGTTTATAGATATTATATTATATATTATATAAGTAATAGAAAAAATATATATATAGTCATTATTATATTAATTATAATATATTTTTAAAAAATTAATGCAATTTAAATAAAAAAAATATATTCATATATAATCTTTATACGTAAATTTCAAGGGTTACTAGACTACTAAAAACTAACTGAAACTTATCTTACTCTTCGAATCACTTATCGTTATTTGTACTGCGATTATTCGACTTGACGACAAAGAAGTGCCTTGTCATGAAAAAATTCGTGTTCGACAATTCGCAAACGGATATATATACGTTTTATTACTGTCTTGGGAAGTGACAGAGCAACGCTAGAGAGATTGCACGTGTTTGTTCAAGCACGGGACGTATTTTCGATTGTTAGCGAAAACGCACGTGACGCCGACGAGTCCGAGGTCGTGCGGTGTCCCTGCTACGCCGAGGAAATGGTTTCTGCAAAACGGATCGAGGACACTTTCGGATTTTAAAATAGTTAGACATCGACCGAAAATCATTATGAAAGGAAACCGCCTCTCGTTCCACTCGGCACGAAAATATTTGAAAATATCGATTTAGTATCAACGCGATTTATTGGAATCGATACATACATGTGTGTAAATTTATCTGTAAATGCCTACATTCATATCTGATATTGTTATATTTTGAATTAATAGAAAATTATAAAACACGTGTCATTTTTATAATTTTTAATTTATGTGCGAGAAGTCTCGAATACATTTTAACGAAAATTTAAAATCCACGACGGTGAAAATTATGAAAATATTAGAAATCGAGAATTAATAACGTCAAACTTACTCTCAATACTTTGCGCGGGAATACTGGTAACATAATTAATCGAAATACATGCATACGCGAATCTGCTACTTGCGATATATCAATTTGCTTTTGCTAAAGGGTGTCGACGCGACACTTGCTTTTGAGGCTCCAATCAATGGTGATCCTTAGCATTGGCCCGAGCATTAACTAGCTTGCAGACGAGCGCAACGAGAAGTCGCGATGCATCAACTTACGTCATTCGCGAACGAACGAAAGTGCGATTCGCGATATGGAGAATATAACAACGATTTTCCTTGAAGAAGTGAATTCTTCGCGATTATACCGATCCTCGAAAAGAAAGTTGCAAGTCAATTTTTGAAAAAAAAAAAGCGCCTGAGATATTCAATTGACTTACAAAAAATCTTAGTTACATTAAAATCATTTCCGATTATTTGACGAACTTTAAATAACGAGTGCAAGATTATCATTGCTCGATACAAAACGTATATCATGAATTAAAAGAGAGATCGAAAAGGAAAATGGTCGTAATGATACAGTAATTATATCTCTACGATTAATAAAAAAACGAAGAAAAAAGTGGATTTGGAGGGAGTAAGTCATGCGTTCGTATTTTTCTATTGAATTACAAACCACGCATAGATATGACCGCAAAAATAAAATGTTCCTTATTTCCCACAGGAATGTCGCGTTCATTTCATTACACGCGAATATTGCGTACTGCTAGTCTTATACAAAATTCATAACTTGCAAATTAGAAAAAGTTGAATTTGGAAGCTATATAATATGATGCATTTCTTATGAAATATACTTTCTTTCGCTGTTACATATTATAACAATTGTATTTAATTATATTCCTAAATAATACATAAACCTTTCGCGAAAGGTGAAATTTGAGGTCGACGCGTTTTGCATCACTGATTTTTTGCACGATACGCATCTAACGTTGTCGCAATTTTTCGTAAATCTCTGATCCACACTTATGCACATATATTTAAGCATCTCTCTCTTTCCGAAAAATCGTTCATAATTTTGAATCCGCGATCGATGCGCCGCGCATCTTTTAACACGAACTTCACGATATACATAAACATACGAATACTAAATAGAGTTAACAAAGCGCAATGCTTATTGTTTTTGATCCTGGATGAATTAAGATCGATAAACGAAAGTAAACACCGTTTCTCGAAATTGCATTTGCTACTCCGATCTAGATGATAACTTTTTAATATAACCCATCGTATTTTTTTGCACGCACTTGCATGCGCCGATCGGCAACAATTATCGAATTTCAAACTCTCGTTTCGCGACGAGAGAGGAAGTCGTCTGCCGGATGGTTTCTCCCGATACGAAAAACCTGTTGCTTCGGCGGCCACGCGAGTCGCCGCGCGTCGCTTACGCGTCGTCGCCGCCAGCGTAAAAAGCGGAGCTGGCGGCGGCCAAGTTCGCGAGGATCGCGAAATCGCGGATGGGCCCGATCCAGGCGAAGGCGAGTTAGCGATATAGAGCGGGTGTCTCGCTCTCGAAATCGCGGAAAGTACGCGTGACGTCGGCGTCACTTTTACCCGCTCCCATCGGCGTACGTATACCTTCGGTGCGAGTGTACTCGACGCCTCGTGACCTCGATACACCTGTCAACGTCGCGACGTTGACAGCGACGGCATGACACGAGACACGCGAAAAGCGTGCTCCAGACCGCTGGACGGCTCTTTTTCTCCAGCCAAAAACGAACGCGGCCATCGGCAATCATGCGCGTGACCAATCGCGCAAACGCCGGCTACGGATACGATATTGCCATATTTGACAAGTATGTTATCGTAAAAGCGTGCACTTACCGTGAACGGCTAGTCCCGCTCGCAGCACGGACGATGGCACTCGACGAACACGGCGAGGACGACATCACCCACGTACCATACCGGACCGGCCATATTGTTTACTGAAGAGATATTCGACACAACTGCCTGAGCTCGCGCTGTGTCGCCTCTGGCAAACGAACGATCGTAGCGCCATCTTGTGGATAGCGAGAAATCAATATCGATAGATTAATCTCGTGCGCGTGATATTATCACGTGACGATAAGATATTGTTGAACATCGATGATGATAATGATTTGGATTAATTATCCGTCGAGTAAAACTCTTGATAAAAACTTGCACATGCGCTTTTCATAATCATACTTTGCAGCCGTTTGTCACGTGTAGATTCTGTTGAAAGGTTTTTAATACAATGGGAAAAGTTGACATAGTTTCGCAGGAAAAGAAACCATCTACTGCATTAAAAAAAACACAGTCCAAGGTAATACACATAATACAATTTCCGGTATAATTTTTTAAATATGTTTAATAGAGATTTTTTTATTTCACATGCATATATTTTAAGTTTCAAGTTTAAAAAGTAAGATTATTTTCTGTTTTCATTATAGAGGCGAAGAAAAAGAAAAAGTAATAAAGTATTATTAAATGGTATACATAAAAGTGAGTTAACGAAATCAAATACATCTAATGAAATATATACATTTAAAAAAAATATACGAAATAGGAAAAAGAAAAAGGATGATTCTAAGAACAAACCTGTTGCAAAAAATATAGAAAAAACAAATCCAAAAGATGATAATAAAATAAAGGTATTTCAAAAAGCACAAACTAATCTAGATAGTAAAATAAAACACAAAAAGAGAAATCAGAGACAAAATCAGGGTATGAAATCTAATCAGATAAAAAATGATATTGCAAAAACCAATGTCTCTACAGTAAAAAATAACAAATTACAAATGTCTGCAAAAAAATCGAATCACTTTGAACATAATGAAATAAAAATTCAAAATAGTGAGAGAATAAACAGAAAGAAAATGAAGCAGGTATCTATTAAAACAGAGACACAAGTAGAATCTGAAAAAACATTGAAACTAAATAAGCATAAAATAAAATTAAAACGATTAGAAAAAATGCTTGTCAATAAACCTAAGGCAAAAGAGGTTGTACAGTCACTTACATTGAGAGATAGAATGATGGCGCAATTAAGAGCTTCTAGATTTAGATTCATAAATGAGACACTGTATAATAATGAAAGTTCACAATCTAAGCGATATTTTAAAGAAGATCCTGATGCTTTTAATGCTTATCATGATGGATATAAACAGCAACTTGAGCAGTGGCCGGTGAATCCACTGGATGTCATAATATCATCAGTTAAAAAAATGTTTGTATTATACTTCTAAACAAAATTTTTTTTATATTATATAAAATTTTTGAATATTATAATAATGATAATTATAGGCCAACAGACAATGTGATTGCTGATTTTGGATGTGGTGAAGCGCTACTTGCTGCTTCTGTTCCTCATAAAGTACATTCGTTCGATTTCATTGCTGTAAATGACACAGTAAAAGCTTGTGATATGGCTCATACTCCATTATTAACAAACAGTGTCCATGTTGTTGTATTTTGCTTGTCTTTAATGGGATCTAATCTCTCTGATTATATAATTGAAGCTAACAGAGTTCTTAAAAACAAGTAAGTATAATAAAAATACTTTTGAGATAACAATAATATAAAAAATTAATACTTTTGTTTCAATAAATTTAGTGGTACTTTAAAGATAGCCGAAGTCGAAAGCAGATTTGAGAATGTGACAAATTTTATAAAACTACTAACAAAATATGGTTTTAAAAATACATGGAAAGATTCATCTCATGATTTATTTTATTTTATGGATTTTAAAAAGGAAGAAGATATAAGTATGAAAAAGAAAAATCTCCCTTCAATTACATTGAAGTCATGCTTGTATAAAAAGAGATAAAATTTGATATTATTAAATAAAATTTTATATAAATATATAAAATAAAAATAAAAATTTGTCTCTGTATAAATAAATTATATGCCAATATCAAGAAATTGTTCCATCATTGTATGTTGATATATTACTATTCTTTTAAGTACATATCAAACATTATTTGGATGATTTCTAATCTATGTGCCTGCTTAAACAATATGCTATTCTTTAAAACATACTGCTCCATTAGGCACAAGTTACAAGCATAGGAAAATGATGTTTATATCATTAGTTTTATTTATATCAGATGTTATGAATATATAATTATTTATAAGAAAATTATTTTTTAATTGCATATAAATTTAATGAATTATTTTGCTATACACAATACATTGTCAATTTTTATATACATATAATTCACAAGAAATGATCTTTAACAACAAAATATATAAAATTACTTATTTTAATATATTTGTGCAAAATCCGCGAAACTCAATTTTTTAAAGGTCTTAATTGAAAAAAAAAATATTTTTTTTATTTATTAATATAACAATTATATATATATATATAATTTATAAACCTGCTCCTATCTGACTCATATGTATACCATCTAGAATATCTTCCCACTCATCTTTTAAATCTTCTGCTTTTTGCAATATTAAAAGCTGGAATTTATCAGAAAATTGAGTATTTGTATTAATATATTTTTTTATTATATAACAACTTACTTTTGCTGCAGCGATAATTTGCATGATCATTTTATTACTTAAATATGGAATTTTTTCCTTTATTTCTCTTACATCAGCTTTTGCTATAGATTGTAGATTTCGATAGCCAGCCTTGTACAATTGACGAGCTCTACCCTGTAATAAAATATATGTAAATACAGATGAATATATAAATTCAATTATATTTTTAAATATTATTTGAAACTTAGAAATAATATAATAACTAAAAAAATAATTAACTCTTACTATTTTAACTGAAGGAAGTTCCATCAATGTTTCTAATTCCAACGGACAACAGTAAGATAATTTTTTACTGAATGCATTCAACATCTCAGTAAATGCCCAAAATTCGGGTAATTCCTATAAAATAATTTAAATATATAAGACATAACATGAAATTTTTTCCTATAATTTTTCCCCTTTATTGTCAGGATAGTTTTATAAAAAATCATTTGTTTACCTGGCAAAATCTTACTACAGAAGATGCAAACATTGAGACTGCATTTAAAAGATTTTGTATAACACCTCTGTTAACTTGATATTTCTCAGCAACAGAATAAACTGAGTGATGATTCCATAATTCATGTACTATTAAGGTCACATAAAATCTCTGAACTACTCTTTTCTCGATAGACTGTAAATAAAATCTTTTTAATTAAAACATAATTCGTAATATCGCATTTGATTATTTAATAAGTAACTGACCTTAGGCATAATACCATCACGTAATTTATTTGCTGTAGCTTCTGTTATTCCCAAAAGCCTAGCTACTTGCATTTGATTTTCACTCAAGTCCATTACCTTAAATAATGATGTAATATATATAATACTTGTATAATGTATATATTTTAATATATAAAATCACACAAATTATATAATTACCACATTATAATAAATATTGCCAATGGGAGTGATTTGGGATACACTGTCATAAGGTGTAACAAGATATAAAAGATGAAGATTATCAATTAAGATTAAATGCTTTTGAGCAGTTTTTAAATCCTCATATAATGTGTACGCAGTTTTTAAATCAATTGGTCCTATAATGAATATAACAATGTTATACAATATTATAAAAACCTAAATATACAGAATTAATGAAAATCTACCCCTCTCACCTTTCATTGCAGCTTGTCCCAAATCACAAAGTTGAAACTCGGTTTCGTTTGTAAAAGCGATCGTTTTTACTCCTTTTTTAATTGATGATTTTTCCATGTACATTGGTTCTTGAGATGGAATAACAATAGTTACATTAGGATTACCAATATTATGATCTTTACTTTTTACTTTTATCACACTACATTTTAATAACGCCGTTATCGTTTCGTCTGTGATTGCTTTCATGTTAACATCTATTCTATTTTGTTGAATATTAAGTAAAGTTCGAGCTGTCAATTTATGCAATTTGGATCTAGTTGTTGCCATATTTAATTGTATTGCACTAAGAATCAAATTGTTGATCCCCCTATCGTTTTCTACATGTAAACTACTCAATGAGTCATCCATTTGAGAGGTCAAGAGATTTTTCACCTGTGGCATAAATTATTATTTCTAAGAGATAAATAATTAAAATCAATTATATTAAGTATTTTTTATAAAAATTCTTACTTTATTAATTTCAGATCTTTTGCAAATAAGTATACTTTCTCCTAAAACTCCCATACCAGCACGACCAGCTCGACCAATCATTTGTTTATATCTACTTAAATTTAAGAACTGATTGCCAATATAAGGACTACGTAGTATTACCTAATAAAAAATAATATTATAAGCAACTCTAGTAATAATATTAGCTGCTTTTCATATTATTTTAATGAATTACCCTTCTTGCTGGCAAATTAACACCAGCTGCTAAAGTTGATGTGCAACATATTACACATAGAGTGCCTTCTCTAAAGGCATCTTCCAACAAACGTCGTTCTTCGGATGTAAGACCAGAATGATGATAGGCTACACCATATTTGACAGTTTTGCACAAAATAGGGCATAAATCTTCTTCAGCCTTAAGTGCACTTAACAAAGTTCTTTTTTTTTCTACTTTGTAATTCTTCAAACTTCTAAAACAATAATTTATAATACAATCATGTGTGTACTTAATATAGTTCTCTAGTTTTTTGAAATAATATTTAAAATAAATAAACAAAAAAATAATGTCTTACTTAGGCAAGACTTTAACTAATAATAAAGCCACATTTTCACAGTTTTTACGACTTGAGCAGAATATAAGACACGAATCGTTTGGTACTACTTCCATTACCAAACCCCCAATTCTATCTGGATCTAACATTGCTATATCTTCTGAGTACTTTATAACAGAATTATTAATTTATTATTTAATATATTATCTGTTATACTCACAAAAATACCTCATGAAATAAAATATAATTAAATCACCTTGTAATCGTTACTGCTCATATGTACTAATAATTCCTCATTATTCAAATTGACTACCCAGATATCATTCTCACATTTTACATATTCCATTATTTCAACTGGTCGAAAATTTTGGGAATATGTGTCTGCATTGAGAAATTGTGCAATTTCCTTTAAATTACCTATTGTTGCACTCATTCCAATTAAACGTATAGTATCTGTAAAAAATTAGTCAACTCTTCAAAAAAATAATCTTTAGCAAAAATTTACATTTCCTATTTAATTTCGTTTAAATATCTGTAATTACCACTGAAAAACATTATCTTTGTAAGAAGTCCTTCTAATGTGGCGCCTCTTCCTCCAGACTCTCCAAGTAAATGTAATTCATCAATGACTATAATACCAATCTGAAAAATATTTTAGCATATTAAATTAATGTTCAGTTATATATAATCCTGATAATTAATTAATAATATTTTAACTGACCTCAGCCAAACGTTTCGTTTCTATTAAACTATTTACAAGTCCTACAGCTTTTTCTATAGTACAAATGTAGATGCTATTTTTTCTCCGTCGTTTAATTGGTGGATAACGTCCTTTTGTACCAGCATATTCCTCAACTAGAAAACCTAATTTTAATGCTAATATAGCCATTGATTGGACCTGTAAATTTATGAACTCAATTAATAACATATTAAATCTTACATAAATTGTTACACATACATGGTTTTTTTTATATGTTACTTTAAAATATTATACCTTTTCTTGCACCAAAGCTACATATGGGAGTATAAAAATTGTATTTTTCTTGTTGCATATAATTTCTCTGAACATTAATATCTCTGCAACTAAAGTTTTGCCACCACTTGTTGGTAAAGCATAAATTAAATTCTTTTTAGTTCTAATAGCTAACTTTAGACATTCATCTTGCCATTCTGTGTCAAAAAATTTAAATAAATTTATATTTTCATAGAAATATATTTGAACTTTATTAATTTATATAATTACAACTTACGGTATAATTCATTAATCCCTTTAATTTCTTGAATCAATTTTTTCACAGTTAGTGGTAAATCATAAAATATAGAACACTTTGTAGGACTTGTATTTTCATTTATTTTCATTTCTGAGTTTAATTCAATATTTTTTAAACACAGTTGTTTTTTTGGTTTGCTATATTCATTCAAACTTCTAGATTTGGATTTTAAAATTGGCGATTTATCACTGTCTTTTTTACAAGAGCTATTTTGTAAAGTATCATCATTAAAATTTGTGATATATAAATACGATATATTAGTCAATTTATCTTGGGATGATATATTTTCACATGCTTCATCTAAAGATACTTTTCCAATGATTTGATCTTTAACATTAGATAGTTCAGAGTTTGTGTCTTTTTTACAAAATGTATTAAATACATCATAACTAATATCAATATTACTACAATCCTTTAGAACAATTTCTCTTTCATCCTCGAACTGAGCAAATACTTGATTCATTAATGATTCATCTTGCCATTCATTTATATTGGAAGACACACTTTGCGATATTTTTGATGAAACAGTTGGACTGGTTTTAGTATTTTGCATCTGTCTTTTAGAAACCTGTGTTACTGAGACATTGTGTTTCTGAGAAGAATCATACATTTCGGAGCAAGTATGTACAGCAAGTATGCTATTATCAGATTCTATATTACACAATAATGTATTATCTAACAATAACAGAGATTCAACAGCGTGTGGTGATTTTTGCCTTTTGTCATTTTCCAAAAATATTTTGCAATTTTCCTTATCTGATATTTCCATTTGTCAGAACAATTTAAAAAAAAAAACAAATCGTCACAAATTAAATAATCTGCACTTTATAAGTAACTGTTAAATTGCGAAAAATTTTATTGAAGAATTGTTATTCAAAACAATTCTATAGCGCAAACCAATTCAAGCCGCCAGAATCACAATACTGATCAAGCGACATTTTCATTTTCATATCTGAATCTGAAGTGTATCGAAAACCGTAACCTCTCTTACGATCATATGATTTACACATCTCGATAATAGTTCAAATAGAGTTTAGCATTTCATTAATAAAATAAAATGCCGAAAAAGAAAACTGGTCAAAGAAAGAAAGCCGAGAAGCAGAAACTTCGGCAAAAAGAAATCAGAGCTGCTAAGGAACAAGTAGACTTGGCAAAATTTCCTTGCAACTCTGTCATGGTAAGTCTTCGATATTACATATGACAAAAATGTTGCATATTTGACATAATTATTACATTTGTTGTACAGGAATGTGACAAGTGTAATAAGAAGCAAAAGAGTCGAGCCTTCTGCTACTTTTGTCAGAGTATACAACGTTTGCCCATGTGTGCACATTGTGGCAAGATCAAGTGCATGTTGAAAACAGGAGATTGTGTAGTACGCCATCCTGGCATCTTCACCACAGGATTAGGAATGGTGGCAAGTAAATCTACATTTTTGTTAAATTATAAAAGCATTGCCTTGAACATATAATGATATAAAAAATTTTATATATTTATTATATTACAATCAATTGTTTTAGGGAGCCATATGTGATTATTGCGAAGCTTGGGTTTGCCATGGAAGACGTTGTCTCACCAGTCATGCTTGCATTTGTCCACTGACGGATGCCATTTGTCAGGAATGTGAGAGAGGAGTTTGGGATCATGGTGGAAGGATATTCAAATGCTCATTTTGTGATTGCTTTTTATGCGAGGATGATCAATTTGAGCATCAAGCATCTTGCCAAGTATTGGAAGCGGAAAATTTCAAATGTAATAACTGCAATAAGAAGTATTGCATTTTTTATTTTAAATTTAATTCTGATTCTACACATATATATATAAATCATTTATATGTGCATATATAAATTGAATTTTAACATTTAATATTTTTAGGTCAATCATGTAACCGTTTGGGACAATATTCCTGTCTCAGATGTAAAACTTGCTATTGTGAAGATCATGTTCGTAGAAAAGGTTTTAAATATGAAAAAAATAAGGCTATTCCATGCCCAAAATGCAGCTATGAGACATCCCAAACTAAAGATTTAAGCATGTCCAGTAAGCATTAATCAGAGTTTTAAATTTAAAGAGACATTGTAACTTTATCTAATTTATTATATGCTTCTTTTTATAGCAAGGAGCCACAAATTTGGTAGACAAAATCAAGGTGGTCCATCTGAATCTGATGATGAAAATGAATATGATTATGGTAAGTTAAAATTCTAATTCTAGTCGAAGATTTTAAGATTTCAGTATTATATTTTTATATATATTTGTTCATATATTTAAGAATATATTTGTGTTATGTGATAGGAAATCAAGATTCTTGCTTTGCTAGTACTTATACCAATAACGATGAAGACAATGAAAATGATGATGATGATGACGATGATGATGATGATTACGATGATGACGAAGATGATGATGATGAAGATGGTGATAATGATGAAGAATTATCAAGTACAGATGAAGAAGAAAAAGATACTAACATACAACAGGCTTCAAATAGTAATAAAAATAAAGCTTAACACATATATTTCAAGATACATAAAATAGCAATAATTGAGAATAAAATGTTAATTGTCAGGAAATTTAATAAAAGTAGTCAGAAGGAAATATTAATATTCTTGAAAAACGAATTCCAATATTTTAAGACAAAAATTTACAATTTCTAGGTATTCACATAGAATATTTAAGTTTTATAACTCTTCAAACAGTAATTTATTAAAAATATAATTAACATTAATTAAATAAAAACCTAATATATATTAATTGAACAAATAAACTGTTGAATATAATAAGAAAATAATCATGAAGAAATAAACATTACATTTATTGTACAGGAAATTTACGCAGTTTAAATAAAAATCTTATACAATCATACATATATAACATGTATACATTTAGATATGCGTTATACACGTAATGTAGTATATTCAGATGGGAATGCAAAAGTATGAGAACCAAGAGCACTAACACTAGGTAACAATCCCGCATTTGGTATAATATTCCATGATAACGTTAATGTTATATTTTTATTTCCTCTGCAAAGATAAAATATATACATACAGATTATACATTTAACATCTACAAACTTTCGATAAAAATTACAAAAATTTTATTTATGCAATAATCTTTAAATATTTATAATTATTCATATTTGATAAACTTTATCTTACCTGAGCCCTTTGCCATCATCCCAGAAATAATACTTTGTATTCATATTCTTGAAATCAAGTGCAGCATTATCTCCACGAAGCACTATCTTATCCCATACCACTACCTGCCAATAAAAATAATAGATATTTAAAATATAAAAGAAATTTAGGCAGATTTATACATATCGCAAATTAATAAATTTGAAAACAAACCTGATTAAACTCATTATTTTGTGTCTGATATTCTGCTGTGAGGTATAAGAATAATTGCTTAACATTCCAATTAAATAATGGAGTAAGATGTAAAAAACTTTGTAAGGTAAATAATTAGAAATATATAAATTTTAAACATAATTATTTTATGCATAATTATAAATTTATCTCAAAATTATCTGTATTTTCTATAATATTAATATGTATAAAGCAAAAAATATATAGTTCTATAGTTATATAGATGGATTTATATAAATTACATATTTGATTTTAAGTATAAGAACATTAGAAATATTTGTATAATATTATATGTAAAGGATATCAGTTTTTAAGTCAAAAGTTAAGTAACCCAAATCATTCTTTTCCCTTGATGCACTATAATCTGGTACATTTTTTCTGCAAAACAAGGCAAACTTATAGTGATTATTGTACAAGATCACAAGTAGCAAATATCAATTCTCGACATATTGAAATATAGATTTGCATATAATGACATTTACATTCAAATCATGAAGAATTTGTATTCTTGTAGAGCATGAGATACGAGTACAATATGGATCTCTTGATAGACATATGTGCATAATTTAATTGAGATACCATAGAAGATTATGACATATTTATCGTACTTACACAATAACTTTAACTGTATTTAGCGTTGCATTTGCTCTATAATCGATAAATACTGTTGAGAGAAAACAACAAAACGTAAGACAAGCAGACACGCTTAACGTATATGCTAAAATAGCATTTCCACGTGTTAGAACCGTATGCATTATTGTGCCTTGCTATCGGTGATTATTTGCAGCGTTTCTGTCAAATTAAAGTAACTAATTGATACAATTGTGTCTCAACGAATTTCTAACCAACATACATTGTTTTCCCTATCGGAACCATCAAAACTCTCAACGTCATCAGTTCAACGTGACAGATTCACCGGTTTGCGTTCGTAAATAAATCCATACAACAGAAACGAGAATAACACAGTAGAATGCACGTAGTTAAAAAAGAACAGACTTGAATTATAGTGTTCCTAAATACGTTCATAAAAGCCCGTTTAGAAGTGAAGCGTAGAATATGGGTGCTTTCCAATTGAGATATCCCTAGACACTTTTATGCACACGGCGACACAAGTCGCGTTCCAATTGCCGTAACTGCCGACACAACTTTACACATCCGTACTCAGCTCGAGGGCTACTAGTCAACTTGTGTAACCTTCTGTTTTCTAGGGACAAATGAAATATGCGGTTACAGACTGACGGCGATTATGTTGGCAATTTTCTTTTCGTTTTATCCTTTTTAATTAAAAGACAACCATTAAAGTACACCATACAAATACAAAAATGAACAATAAAAATATTAAAAGTATCATTGAAGTAAGTAATTCAAATTAATGAGTTTTTGTACAATTAATTTTTTTATTATATTTAATAAATAAAATAAAATTGTCTCTTTTGCATATTTGCAAGTTAGATATATTACTGATTAAATTTTCATTCATATTTATATATTAATATAATATGCATTTATATATTTTATTTATATATTATTTATAAAAATTACCAATGAGATACTAGCAAAAGAGACAGACATAGGCCTCGCATGTAGTATCTCTCTCTTCACCGCGGGCTGACGCCTGTCTACACGCAATGGTCAATCCATTTTATATATCGATGCTATCACCCTCAGCATGGATTAAAAAATATCAAGATGGACATGGTTATGAAGAATCCTAACCCTCCACTCGAAAGTCGCACATTAACTTTGTTCCAATTGAGTCGTGCACATCGCTACACTTTGTGCCTTCCTGTGTATGTTTGTGTTAAGATGTGTTAAACAATTGGAAAGCACCCTGTTCTAAATGATGTGCATAAAAAAAAAATTAAATATTATAAATATAAATATTTTTTTCGGTGAAAGAGAAAATCGTGCAAGACACGTGCGTTTGTAAAATCATTCTTAAAATCATCAGATTTCATAAAATTAAAAAAGTTGCATTATATCATTCTGCCAACATTGAGAGAGATATTTTCGAACATCACACGAGAGATTGTCGGCCCTGAAAGCGAAGTGGACCACATCTAGACGGAGGGTCGTGCGGCCCGGTTACTTGGACACGTTTGTGGTTATCAAGTTTGACAATAAACATCGGGCCGCGTTGTATGACTTGGAGTTAACGATTCGCCAGCATGGGTGAGTCAGAGACCGATATTTCCCAATATATGTTAATATCATGCCATAAATGTTTGCCCTGTAAAAATAAACGTGACACGTCGTGCGCGCACTATACTACCTGCTACCGACGTGTTATCCTTATCCTTACGATCGTTTATGGGAAATTTTGACGGTATATTCTTTTACAGGTGGGTTACTCAGTTATTTTCGTAATCTGCTCGGTAACCGTGAGATGCGTATTCTGATTCTGGGTCTGGACGGTGCCGGCAAGACTACGATTTTGTACAGGTTTGCACGAGTCTTGTATCTCAGTGACAGACTGTCACATTTGTGTTTACGTGATGTGTGTCTACCATTAAATTATTTTGATATGAATTTTTATATTTAGAAGCTATTAGAGATTAATTTTAAATATATCTCCTCTTAATTATCTCTTAATTGTATATTGTATATCATATGGAAATATTATATATTCTGTATTAACTGATCATGTATGTTTTTATTGCATTGATAAGTTAGACATTAATTAGTTATATTTGATAATTTTTGAATTGCAAAATATATTGAGACTAAGAAATTCTTTAACTAATAGACTTTATACATATTAGGTTGCAAGTAGGGGAAGTAGTAACTACAATACCAACCATAGGGTTCAATGTAGAACAAGTTACTTACAAAAATTTAAAATTTCAAGTATGGGATCTTGGTGGTCAGACGAGTATACGGTATGTTATAAGCTTGTGTGTAGAAACTTGTTTTTCTCCAAATTTACAAAATTAAAAATTGTATTTATCTTTAATTTCTGCTATACATACATATATATATATATATATATATATATATATATATATATATATATATATATATCAGTTTTTATGTTTCATAAATTTATTTCAGACCATACTGGAGGTGTTACTATTCAAACACAGATGCGATAATTTATGTGGTAGATTCAGCAGATAGAGATAGAATAGGCATATCAAAAGATGAATTAATTCTCATGTTACAAGTAAGTAACATTTTTATTATGAGTAATTTTGTATATAAAATAATAAAGAATAGTATTATTTTATATTAATACAGTCATTTCTCTTAATGACATTATATGATTCAAAATGTATCTTGTAAACAGGAGGAAGAATTACAAGGTGCAATCTTGGTGGTATTAGCAAACAAACAGGATATGGCAGGATGCCTTAGTGTTGCAGAGGTCCATCAAGCACTCGGATTGGATGCTCTTAAAAATAGAACCTTTCAAATATTTAAGACTTCCGCGACGAAAGGTGAAGGGCTCGATCAAGCAATGGACTGGTTGTCAAACGCACTGCAGAGTAGAAAATGATTAACATTACGTCAGCGTAATTCATATTCATATTCGAGCCTTAACAAGGGGACTAGTCATAAGACTGTCACTTTGAACGTGTCGCCGGATTGCCACCGGACACGATGTTCTGTTTATTTATTGTAATTAATCTATTTTAAATATCTTTTGCAATTTATACTTGCAAAATCACTATATTTTCTAATGCCAAGAGTGCGCAATAAGGGAATTATTTTATCTCTTTCTATGTGATTTAAAATATCGTTCTCTTTAGAGAATTCTTTCCACTTAGATTCTTTGCACTAATAGGTATTTCGTATGTTACTGCTACACATGTGTGAGTAACAGTTAGTTAATATAATAATTTGTTTAAAATCGTCCTATTTATTTAATCTCAATGATAAATGAACTCAGTATAAAATTGTAAATTATGTATTTGTAATGAAAACACATGCGTATTGATATAAAATAAAATATAAAACTACAAATCAATATTAAACAGAATCGAGATAAATTTTCGAAAAAAATTTGATCTTGTAAGACAAAAATAATTCAATACAAATATCTATGCATAATATATTGCTATCTCGATGTATCTTAAATTATAGAATACTTTTTTCAAACATGATAATACAAATAAAACGAATATATAATATGAAACTCAATGCAGATAGGGCACAATAGAAAATAATATCACATTAATATTTATAAAAATTAATAAAGTTAATGCTGTCTCGTGAAAAAATCACGTTAATGTTAAAAATGATACCATTTTCAAAGATATATCTCCTATACATTTTCTAAGTTATATACTCGTAGTAATCTTTTTAATTGAAATAATTAATTTTTACAATTTTATAACAAATATGCCAAATAGTAAGTCATGATTGGAGTAATATATTTCCCAATCCATACTTATTATATTTACTGAGTAGCATATTGAATTTTGATAATTTATATACTGAAAAATATATAACAAAAACAAAAATATATATTATATTATTTCATAATAAATATTTAAGATACTGACTTATGTAAATAATAATAATTTCGTTATTTTTGTAGAAAGAGTATTTTATGTAGTAGCTTTTATAAAATGCGAACCTACCTATAAGTTGCAATTATTTTTTTTTTACCATTCCGGAATACCAAACCTTTGGATTCGTTTCGCTTTCGCAGCCATATCCATTCGAGATTTTACTCTCATGTAAAATATTGGACAGTCACGACTGAAATCATATGTTTGAAAATAATTATTTTGAAACATATCTTTGACTTTTTTATTATTTTTAGATATATATGTATTCACACAAATTCAATATATAAATATATCTTTTTATTTCTAGAAAGAGTATATATGTACAGTATATATTATAAATTAATACAACTAACTTGGAACATATAACTTCTTGATGGAGACTTCCTTGACATCTTTGGCATTCTGTCCACAGTCTAGAAAACTTCTCTTCTAATTTCTGTTGGGCTTGCAATTCATTGTGAAATAATTCAGCCTCTTGAGATTCGCAATGCTTGCATACTGCCTTGTCTTCTCTGTCCGGCGGTAAAACAGCTTTACAACCCAAACAAGTCTCTTTTTTACGTGTGAAAGCCGCGAGAGCTCCAACTTGTGAAGTTGCAATGCATCTTGTGCGCGTATGATCACCTTTTAGAAGAAGTGACTCTGCCTTCTCACCAAGAATGGGTTCGAAGATACGTACAAGAGGTTTCGCTAATTGATTTTCTAGATAATAATTTGTGTCTATCGGGATACTATTCTCCAACGCGTAAACAGGATCTTCCGCCTTTTGATATGCTGGAGTACCTTTAGCTGCGCTTGTAAATACATATGCCACTCTGTCGCCAAGTTTTGGCGCATTTCCGGCATCTCGTTTCTTCATTTTTGCCGCTAATTCGACGTGCGCTTGCTTCGCTGCATAATCTGTCTTTGTCAGTTCTTTCGTAATGACTAATTGAGAAAGATCGATTCGATTACATAGGAGATCACTTATGATTTGTTTAGCATAATCGACAGCGGCATGTGGATTTCTATAACATTTATATTATCTATATAGTATAAGCATATATAATTTAAGTAAAACATAAAGAAATGTACCTTTCAATAAGCAATATTTGCAAACAGGTATTCATCATATTCGCGACTAATGGACAGTTATCTCTGCGCACTGTTTCAAGACCTTTACAATCCATTTTATCGTATTTATCGGGTTTTGTAAAGTAAAGGCCAGCATAACGTTTCTTGTTAATCAAAAGATACGGGAAATATACTTTTTCAAATTCCAGTTTTATAGGTTTGATAAATTTGGATGTTACATAGTCGGCCGCTTTTCTACCGAGTTCCATTGCATCCTCTATAGATTCCACGCCAAATTTTACCATAACGGAATCAGTGTCGCCATATATGACCACTGCATCGTTTTTGTATCCATTTTCTATTCGAAAGTGATTCTCCACCTCTTGCTTCGTTTGTTCTATCATAGTTCGTCCATAAGCGGTAACGCTCTGCAATTATATTTGTTATGAATATTTTACATTTTTCATGATGAATATTGCAAAATTTTCCTTTCTTAAATGTTTCATGAATATTGACAACTTACAGCAGATATTTCTAAACATGGCAGTTTTCCCATTTGTGCACCCGTGAAACCATACACCGAATTTGCTGATACTTTTAAAGCATATTGTCTACCATCGAGTACTTTTTGCTTCAATGGATCCGTTTCTTGTTTTAATTCCGCTTTTGCTTTTTTTCTAGCCGCCAATAAATTTTCCAAAATTTCAGGTAGAATTCCTTTTCTTACAGTACTCTTTATGAATAATGAATTACTAGGAGTTACAGTGACTTGATCCTCCTGAATATTAAGCTCTCTCTTTTTAGCAAGAGTTAATAATGTTGTATAACATAAATTGTGTGCCATAATAATGCTAGGGTACAAAGAACTGAAATCTAAAGTAGCTATTGGACTGTTGTAATAGCCACGTTTAGGTTCAATAACAGTAGCTCCTTCAAATTGCTCATCAACAACTTGGCCTTGATGTACTGGTATTAAATAATCCTTCTCTCGAGTCTAATAATAAAACCGTTTAATTAGGTATTAAAGCAATTATTTCTCTTGGCAACTATAAAACTTATTACCTTGCGTAACAGTTGTGAAACAACTTTGATTTGTTGTCCGCGGGTCAATAAGCTAGAAATAGATACTCCTGTGACTCTTGCCATTTCCATATAAATAATTATACACATTAGTTTGTCTAATAATCTGAGAGGCAAATATGCATCTTTCAAACAATATACAGCAAGACGTCGACGTGTCTGTGAATTTCCGTTTTGTAAACTCGTAATATCTTTATAATGAACATCTTCTTTTTGTTCTTGAAGAAAATGATACGATACAGCATTTAGAGAATAAGATCTCAGTTTATAATCTCGGACCAATACCTGATATACATTTATATATTTTTATTAAAGAGATATATAAAAAAATTACACTTATTATTATGAATTACCTTACCAATAACAAATCAAATGGAACTCTTCCTTCAAAATTGATCGATTTGTTCTCACGACGACCCAGCTGTTTGCTTTGCAATACACGATCCTTGATAACAGACTTTATATTCTTTATTCGACCAAGAAAATTGAAATTTTTAACATTGAGATGTTGCGCACGATTAATTAAATATGGGAAATCAAAATTGTTTATGTTATATCCTGTGAAAATGTCAGGATCTAATTGTCGTACAAAGTCAGCCCATTTCTTGCAAAAAAAATAAACAATATATCACAATATTAAAAATATTTTTTCTACAGTAGACTTCATTAACAAAACTTTTTCTTCTACAAGTTAGTATAATTAATTTACCTCCAACATTAAATTTTCTTTGTCAAAACTCAATACTTGACAACCAACAATAGGTGCACAAGTATTAAGAGTAAAAATATTTTTTAAAAATGGTTCAGATTCACCCTGCTTTATAACCATATTCGCAATTTGTATCACTGGATCATGTTTTGCTTCTGGAAAAATACCTATAAAAGAGATTTGTAATTAGATTCATGAAATAAAAAGTATTAAAGCTAAAAAAATATTAAAAAATAATAATAGTTACCTTCACGTCCAGCACATTCGATATCAAAACTAAGAATCCTAAATGGAGCTAGTTTTGACCATTCACCTTCTGGTGCATGAGCTATAAAGTTATCCCATGCAACATCTACTTCCAACTGACATCGTGTAGTTAGCTCTAACATATGCCCATATTGGCCACGTAATTTCCAACTTTTGGGTGATAATTCAATCCAAGAGCAGCCAACCACTGATGTATCAACCATAAACCTTGTGTGAATATTTAAATATATGTAAATATACACACAACAAATTCAATACGTTGTAATTTTAATACAAATATTGAAAAAGGTGAATACTAATACATACCTAATATCAAAATCAATGTTACTTTCAAAAGCTCTATAGTGATAATTAAATATAGTATATACTGTATCCTGTTCTAGTAATCTTTTGCAAGGTGCTATCAATTTTGGAACTGCCACTGTAATTTTCAAAAATGGTAATTTATCATTTCCTCCGTATCCATATATTGATTGTTTGTAGACTAATTCAACTGCTAAGATGGCTTCTTGTATGTTATCAGGATTTGACTTCATATCTTTTTTCACAGCTTGATTTAGAGCCTCCTGTATTAATAGTATAAAAATTCTTGTATTGGTTATTACTTAAATTATTACAATTGAAATAATATATTTTCTTTTAAAATGAATATATACCTTAAATGGCTTGCAGTGGTTGTTTGTAAAATTTGGTGGTGCTGATACAAATAAATAGGGACAAAAGCCATGAACATGACAACAAATGGAATTTCCACGTTCTGTCACACCAAACATTCTCATTATGGGTACAGGTCCCACTTTGCTACCCGGCATTCCAGGTAAAGGTTTACCTACATATAAATTTATATGTATAAATATTAAAACTGTTTTATCGTTAATAAATAAATATCTCGATAATAAAATTGTTACCTATATAATGGTCAATTTCTATTTGCTGAAATGCTAATGTATCAATTTGTGGATTCAAAGGTGGTGGCGAAGGTCTGCTCCATTTTGCAGATGTATTTTCTTGTTCAGGTCCCTAAGAAAATATATATATTATCTTGGATACATCTGGTTTACAAATGCTAAGTATTAATAGTATAGAAATAAATCATGTACTATCATAAATAATAATAAAATACTATGATAAATTTAATAATTAAATCATACTTCTCCAATTATTAATGTTTCATCTGGAAAATCATCTGGAAAATCATCATCTCCATAATCCATAGTGGTTAATTCTGGTGACTCTTCATCTTCATTTCTGTTTATTACAAAACAAATATAAATATTTTAGAATCCTCTTGTTTAAGCACAAAAAATTGTGTATAAAAATAATTATTTAATATCGTAAAATTATTCAAAACAGGGAAAAATATTTTTTTTTTAATATTTTAGTACATATATATAAATCGCACATAGCATTCAACAATAAAATTTACTTAAAAGATATATAGATATAATTTGTTAAAATTTATTGTATTATATGTAAAGATATTTATTGTATTATATGTAAAGATATTTATTTAATCAGAAATCATAATAAGCATCATATAAGGCATAATATTATGTTAAATTATGTTAGAAATACAATAGAAACAAAAGTGAAAAAAGAGGTTAATAAATGTATGATAAATTCAATAACAAAACTAGTTACCTTAATTTAGCCTTCTTGACTGCACCTTTAGGCGCTGAAAACGGCTTACGACTTATTTTACTCATGTTTCTTTTCGTAATATTTATAATATTTATGAAAAATGAAATGGATAGGAACTACAAGCTTTTCAATTATATAAACTAAGGAAAGGCGGGAACAATGTATCCGGATGAGTGCGCATGCGTGGTCTTCCGTAAAGACCATTGAACTATGAGTGCATCCAGAAGCACAACCGCTCACTGAACAGTTATGTAGCACCCGAATGTGATTGGTGAATTCGAAGATAGAAACCAATCACATTTAATTGCTACTTAGTTACTCAATGAGCGATTGTGCTTCTGGATGCACCCTATAATTCTATAGTTCAATGGTAGAGACACTGAAATCAGAGAACGAATTAACTACTTTTGATTGGTCCGCCATTTTACCTACTATTCCCGCTGATTTTTAAATGTATTAATAAAAAATACAATAAAATAAAATACAATTTTAATATTTTTGTGCAATACTTTATTGATACAAAATTATTATTATAAATAATTATTATTTATTATTAATAATTATTATTTAAATGCAAAACGCATAGCCATATATTTGCTATCGTCTATTATATATTTTGTTTAAATTATTTTTGTCTTTTTTATCAAAAATTTTTAGCCTACAAGTTATAAATCCTTTTATAATTTTAAGAAACAAATTATTTGCATCTAATTTGCATCTAATTTGATTGTTTTACTGCGTGTTCTCTATCCATAATCCATAATTTTATTTCACGATAGCAATTTTTTAAATTAAAAGATAATATGAATAATAGATAAAAAATTTATAAATTACTTACCGCGCAATTTCGTTACTTCGTATGTTGCCTGATGCTTTTTTCAACCTCTTTTTCGCCGTTGTTCCTTTGCTATTTTTTTGTGACACCCACATTCATTTCTGAAAATACAACTTAAAAAATAGTTATTTATAAAATAATTATTTAAATCTACGGTTCGATTGTTTTACTGCGCGTTCTCATAATCCGAATTATATTTAAATGATCGAAAAATAGAACGATAAATTGTCGCGGACGAATTATATATTCGACTCTATAAATATCATTAGAAAAATAATTTTTGCTCGTAACAATCAATTTCATAATAATTTGAAATCGAATAGAAATAATTTATTATTTTAGATTTCTGTTACTATGATTTTTAATTGATTAAATAAATAAATTACACAAAATATGCGATTCGAGAATTTTCGTCGCGATATATATATATATAGATATTAGTTATGCGTTATTTATAAAAGTTAATTAATCACATTGTTATAATATATAAAAATAATTTTCCGGTTTTGATCGCGATCGCGTCTAAAAAAGAAATTTAACGAAGCATCATTATATTACACATTAGAAAATATTAGACAATAACATAATATATATTTTTTTACGTGCTCATATATTTTAAACTAAGTGTTCGCATCCAAATTCGCGTGTTCGCGCCATATCACGCCATATTGTTTTTGACAACTTCATGGCCTGTAGAATAGAAAGAGAAAACATAGAGGCCATTTTTCTCTCTGTCTTAAATTCTGTCAATGTCCGAGCTTCACTCCCTTCGCTCACAAACTGTATGAATTGGTCTAGTGATGTACGTTATTGAGAGAAAAGACTATGGCTTCGTCCACAATGGGTAGTCGTAAGCAAATTGGCCAATCACAGTATATTATTTATCAAAATAATCAACTGTGATTGGTCAATTTGCTTATGACTTGTGACTTATTGTAGATGAGGCCTAAGACCCACTTTTAAACTGGCTTTTAACTGCATTTCAGTTTTACCAACTATGTTATTCACTTTTTACTTTGGCCGTTACATTTGAAAGAGTATTAGCATACGGTGGATTTTTCAAATTATGCAAGTATTCGTAAGGCTGTTTTTAATATCCATAACACAGGTAAGTTGACAAAAAAATAATGAAATAATCAAGTAAAATAAGAGCGATTACTCGCAACAGCATCTTCTCAATAAATTATATAAGCTATTTAATAATTTTATGGCATAGTAAATCGATATCTAGAATCTAACATCAAATTTTAGAATCGAGCGATTTCAAGTCAGACAATCGGACATTAGATTCTTTACATAATTTTACATAATTTGCAATTTTACAAAGAATTTTATCCTATTGATATTTCGGTAGTTGTTTCGAGTACATCTGTATATTTAAATATATAAGACACATTTGTATATTTATGTATATAACAAAATTTATATTGTAAGTTTATTGAACATGCTGGATAAATCTTGTAACGCTGTCTACTGCGTGATTTAAGTGGAAAATTTGTAAATCATTCACTTTCGATGCTTCTATGATGATCATCGAATAAGAATTTAATATGTCTAATGCTGTTGTTATTGAACTTTATTTTTTTAAATCTTGCTTAAAATCTATTATAGAATGAATCTTTTATTAAATTAAGAATCAAACTATTTAATTCAAATTAAATAAAATATCTGTATTATATTTTTGAATAAATATATATTAATATATTACTATTATATTGAATATGGAATAATATATTATTATATTATATATTAATATATTATTATATTGAATATAAAAGAAAAAATTAATTAAAAAATGTATGTTTGATTTAATAATGTTACATTTTCATTATTCTCGTTACATATGTGTATATATAATTTTATAAATTTATAATTTGTATAAATTGTATAAATTTTATTATTTTTATAAATTTTTGTGTAAATGAATTTTTTGTATACATGTGTGAATATTTTTATATATCCAATTCATCCTTCGTTCGTTGTCCAAATGTTATGTATCCAATTCTATATTTATACACCGAAATGTTTTTAACATTTATTTTCACGTTTATTAAATCAAAACCTTATTTGTTTATTTAATAAATGAGAAATAAAATTATTTTTATGTTTCAGTTCAACGTGCGATTAATAACATGTGTTTTCAATGTTTGGCTTCGAAAAAGGTTGAAGATGGCTTATTTGGCAAAGTGACCTATCTAAGAAGACATCGAGGGTAAGTCAAAATTGAATGACAAGTTCAAAGAACGTTTTTCCAATTTTTATTATCATATATAGATCATATATTTTTTGAAAACACTTAATATATTTTACTTAAGATAGTAATATTGTAAGTTTATTGGACATGCTGGTTGGATCTCGTAACGCTGTCTACCGCGTGGCAATGATTTAAGTGGAAAATTCGTAAATTACTCACTTCCGATGCTTCTATGATGATCATCGAATAAGGATGTGTTTTCAACACGCGGGGCAAGGAACGAGGGCGCAAGGACGAAAAAATACATTTATAAAAATTACTCGTGATCATCGTAACATTTTCGTTTACGGCTTGAACGGGAGCTTCATCAAATGGCAGAGATAAATTCCTCTCCTTCCTTTTCTTTTTTTTTCTTTTCCTACAGTAAGATGGAGCGTCTTACATGAAATCGATCGCTTTATCGATGCAATTATGAAATATTGACGTAGTGATAATTCAACGTACATGATGCGCGTTGATTTACCTGTCTATTTACTGATTTATCTATTTTCTTCTCTCCATCTCTCTTTTAAATTATCACTAATGATTGCGGTATTCGATACCGCGTGTTTGTGACGTGTTGTATTTTCGTGTACGTGTGATTGCATTATATATATTTTGTATTGATGTATAAGTATGTAAATGGATCTAGCTGCTGGGAGACAGGGCTGACATGAGCGCAGTTTCAGGCAGGTTCCATCCAATTACAGATATATTATATCATAGCAAACATCGTGACTATTTACAATAAATATACAATTGATTACGTTATATAAATAAAATATATATAATATCGTATCGTTAGGTTTAGGTTTACAGCAACACGTGACAGTAAACAATTAGATCAGCGGCAAAGTAGCATAATCTATCTAGGATAGTGGTCGTAGTAGCATTAGCGTGGCTGACTCTGCTTTTTTTTTGCGCTTGCTCACTCTTCAATATCTCTCACTTTCACGCTCTCTTTCTCTCTTTCTTTCTTTCTCTCTATCGCTCACATCAATTTCCGTCATGATTTCCGATTACGTTTTCCTTTTTTTCGGCGTGTAATCTTGCTCGAGTCTGAAATTGCGCATCTCAAAAACCAATCGTGCCGCAATGCATGGATCGGTAATGGCTGCTATAATTGGCCACTCTAGCTCCTCTCATATAAGTGTGTATACACATGTGTATATATATATATATATATATATATATATATATATACATGTATATGTATATATTTATTTATTTCATATAATTATTTTTTCACGTACTTTATTTTATTTCTTTTTAATTTAGAGAAATACGCGGAATTGTCGCGGTCCCCCGTGACCGCCCGCGGGGGAGGAATCTAGAACTGGAACGAGTTCGCAAAAACGAGAGATAAAACTTCACGGAAGTTAGAGAGTGAATTTTTTCCTAATAATATAATCGCGTAAATCGGTCGGGCCTCGAGTCGAATTTAGGGAGGACCCAGTCCATACATGTATCCATAGCTGGCCCGCTCATTAATTTGACACGTGATATTTAAAAATAGTCGATTTTTCTTGAACGCATCGCATCATTCTGGAGCCAATAATACGATTGAAGATCAAGAGTGCAGTGGGACAGTGGAAAGCAGGTGAGAGGCTGGCTGGCCGAAGAGGGACAATGAGTGTTTAGATGTCCACGAATGTGTCGAAGCACTCCTATTTCGCTTGTCCAGAGGCAACCAAAGTCTTCGGAAAATTGACGAAAGTTATCTTTCTCTTATCAAAATCAAAAGCGATAATTGGCTCATTATTACAATTGTGACTAATCAATATAGCTAAGAATTATCATTATTGGGATGATTCAAACGTTCAGTTAATGATTCATAATTGAAACAAAAGCAATTGCACGTAAAGTATCAAATGCAAAATTTAGAATAAAGTTTTCATAATATATATTTTCTAGATGAATGCTTTCTAGTGAGATGAAATTAAAATAAAACAAAATAGAAATAGAGCATTTCCGACTATCTTAGATAAGCGAGGCAGGAATGCAACCCGATGATCGAGTTTGTTCGCGCAACCGTTCTCGTGAGAAAACGCGATAATGAACATGCGCAAAGATAGATTAATGTGCGCGATTTCAGTTTTGCGCGTTGTTACGCGCGTTCGCGCGTGCGACGAGAACGTACAAAAAGGAAATGTACAAAAAGGATCGTCCTTGCGACCTCGATGGCACGAGCGCGCGCGCGCGTGTATGTGTCTCCGATGAACTCGTTTTGGACCGCGGTGTTGGGGATCGTCCAAACAACACAATACTTAAAAGCAGCAGTAAAGACGTCCTAATATCTCGAACATCCTTTGGACATCTTTTAGACGTCTTTTAGAATTTTGCGTTGATTGGATAGTATAGGTCTAAACACTCGCTTGAGTTAAAAATACGTTTTACGAAGCTTCCCTATATATATGTATATATATATCTCTCTCTCTCTTTCTATATATATATATACTTTTTTTTATACATTCAGCGTATAGATAACGGTTTCTTTTTATCTTTCATCTATTCAGACAGCAATATCGTTGTGCCACTAACTATCCATAAACGGCACCGTCTCTAAGCCGCAAAATATCAATGGCGAGTACGAACGTTCATGGTGACGCGAATAAACAATACGCGCGATGGATCGATAAATTCGGGATCTTTATAGGAAAAGGGAGAAAAAAGAGGAGAATCAATGGTATCGAGAGAGATTTCTGATGCTAACCTGGTTCAATGCACGTATATGGGCTTTGTGCGCGGACGATCAGCGCACACATATACACATACACATGCGCGCGTACATGCACACACACACACACACACACACACACACACACACATCATCATCATCATCATCATCATACATACATACATACACACACACAGGCAAAACGATCGGTACTTTGCGGGCAGTAATTTTGGATACACATATTTAGAGTACTCTCGCGATGAGGGAACATAGTTTACATTCGTTACGTTCATATCCAGCAAGCACAAATATGCGATATTGTATACATATTATTTATCGATAAAATCTGAGTTTACCCTTCTTTCACATTTTCTTTGTTTCTGGATTATACGCAGACATCATACGACACATTCCTTCTTCCGCGATCCCCGAATTCCACCAAGGGATATCTATCGTCGATCCCAAGTGACTATTTCCCTGCGCGCACAACAGTGCGATATAAATCATCCGATCGGCGACAATCGGAAACACTTATGCGCTACGGATAGGATACATCCACATGTTAAAAATACGTTTAGTCTCGCTATTGGTATCCGACATTCTCATACACGCTCATTGTCGCATTTATCATTCTACTTCAATATTCTCTCAAATCTCTCTTTCTCTCTCTCATTCTCTCTATCGCCGTACAAGAAAAGCACCACTTTATAATACAAATTCGTCTCATTCTTAACTGTCTAAAGCCGCGAACGGAATTCAAGCTCGAGACCGCGCGATCGAGTCCGCACGATCGCCATTTCTCGTCCCCTTTAGGACACTGAAAGGAGATCGTCTCTCTTCCAGTTTCTTTTTCTCGGTTCTTTTCTATTCTTCATCGGGGCCATTCATTGTTGAGACATATTATTCCGCCCGCATTTGTTTTCGCGATCGCTGCCGCTTCCCAGCGATCGCAATCTGCTGTTACCTATACTTCCATCACCTATCATAGTTTTTTCTACGACGTCCGACGTTAAAATATCGCGGATTAAATGGACCCAGTCGGGCAAACATACACGTAGCTTGTTCACGTCATTGTCAACGTCAATAATGCTGTTCTGATTTATATTCTCCTTGCATTTATTCTACACCGAAAAAGATTTCTATGTCAACGTAAAGCTATGTATTGACTAGTTTCTCTCACTCGAGTCACTCTCAACAACAAATGGCCTGTATCCCGATTTTTTTTCTATCTTCACTTTTCACAATATACCTATATTACCTTGTATCGATGCGGTGTACCGTCGTACAGTTTACGCGCACAATACTACGGTCCGCCGTCGTTTACTTAGGCCTCGAGCGCAAGCTCGACGAGCTTGCCGGCCTTGCGAACATAGCTAAAAAATTACAGATTCTGTAATTTTAATTCAGACCTGCGAGCTAGCAACGAGCTCCAGCTGTATCCATGTTGCGCTAAACCTATAGAAGGATCTCGCAATGTTTTTTATTTCCTTCCAGGTTACATACACACACACAATCAGCATTCCGGTATATTCTGCCGATTATCCTTTCTTCCCGGTTATCCTGCCGTCGCTTATAAGGCTTTCGCGGATCTGCCAATCGCGGATCGGTCGCGCAGCTGGTCTATGGAGCGAATGCTTGATGAAATTCGCGTTCCTCCGCGTGTGCTTAACGCTCTTACACACTATATAGCCTATATCTCGCGCGCGGTGTATATATATTTATAATATATATAATATAACATTATAGTGTTTTTGGCATCTTTGAAATACACAAATAGACTTTGGTATAAAACTTTTTGATAGTGTTCAGTACACGTTTATATATGCGTATGCATATACATATATGGACGCTGCGCATTACAGCGACTCGCTCGATTCTTTTACCCTCTCGTCAATTTTCATTTCTTTTTCTTTCTTTCTCTCCGTAATATCGTTCACACGAAAGTTCCTATGATTTCGATACTGGACAATGTCCCCGCGCGAGGGGGACGATACGACTGACTCTTGAATATAGTGTCGCTCTAGCACATCTTGTCCAACCACCAGAATTTACAGGACGGCGCGCCTCTCCTTCGACGTCGTTTCTTACTCGACTGATCCACAACTTTCTTTACAAATCTAATGTTGTAAGGGTCTTCTGCAAGTTCGGGATATTGCTGCGCGTCATGTATGTATTCGCCCTCGTAATTGGACGCGAGGCCAACCTTTAGTATTTCATCTTGCTCGGCGACCATCCACTCAACCGAGGTAGGAGTGTTCGCCTTGAGTGCCTCGCGTTCTCGATGCCACGCTTTTCTGATAGCAGTTGCCTTCGCGTGATGCAACAGTCTCTGCTTCTCTTTTTCCGCTGTAGTGCCATAGCGGAGATTCACTACATAACTGGCGCCATGTATTTTCACATCGATAAGCGAGCTGCTGCCACTGCCGTTCTCGTTCTCGTGGAAAGTCGTATTTACCTGACCGCCCAATCGTTTCAATTGACCACGATCCTCACTAGCCCGCCAGGTCTCTTCCTTAACGAAATAGAAGGCGTCTTGCTGTGCGCTGTGTACGACAAATGTGAATGGCAGGAAGTATGAACGATTAAATACAGATGTAAATACGTCGCCGTAAATAGCGTTAGCACTCGGTACACTGGATACCACCGCTTGACCATCAGCAGTCCTTGATACCAGGATACCTTTGCCGAATGGAGGATCGGATGCCGCGCCGAGACGGCTGGGTATCAGCTCGCTGGTGTCCTTCTTCAGAGCCGATCGCGGAGGTGCCGATAAGCTTACCGCGTCGCCTGAATGCCTCTGGGCGATATATGCGAGAAAACCGGATTGGACACCTAGATTGCGCGTTCTTTTCTTCTTACCGAAAATAGACGTACCCGGACCGAGCGCTTGTGGTACAAGACTGTCTGGCAGTTCGTCCGGGAATAATTGCGGTGCTAAACTCTTCAAATCATATCCGAGATGCGACAGCCATGATATGTGATCTGGAAAATAAAAATATGTAAGATATGAACACATATTAATGGAAGGATTTGTGTAATCATTTAAATCGTATCATGTAAATTATCAGTGTGAACTTACCAGTTGGTTGACTCGGTCTATCTGTATGTCTGACATCAATAGGATCGTTTCCATTGAATCTATAAAGATGTAAATGTGTGGGCTTGTTTATACGATCTAAAACATTCTCCCAGAGCGGTGACATCCACTGGCCTATCAGCGGATCGTAAACTTTCCCGTTTGGCATATGAACCAGAGATGTGACCTATAAATCAATTATATATAAATCAATTATATATATATATATATATATATATATATATATCAATTATATATTATAAAACATGAAATGCGGCAAACGAAACTTCATACGCTATTTATATTGAAATTATTGACTACAAATGTACACGAAAATTGTATCATCTTTTTTGTCATATTTGTATTTTATTTAATTAATTAGAATATTTATAAAGTTGCATGTATAGATGTAATGAACATGAGAACATGAAAAATGTTCATTTACCTGATCTAAAAGTCCGCCACAAAAGTCAACCGGTAAATAAAGATAAGGATTTGAATCGTAAACGATATGCCCGTACGGCGATCGCATAATTTCTCTAATGCCTTCTCCATATTGATTAAAGATCATAATGGGCGTACCACACTGATCAGTGGCGATATAATATTTGTGGCGATATACTTGTGCATATATAAGATGTCCTCTATCATCGTAAACCAGCGACATCAATTTACCATCGCGCGGACTGTATATTTGACTCACTTCGTGTGGGCGCTTCTGATTGTTGTAGAAGAATTGCGTGACATTGCCATAATTGTCTTTTCTAGTGGCTAGGCGATCTAGATGATCGTAATAGTATCGTACATCAAAGCGACCGCGTTTAGTAGCGCGCACGAGAAGTCCTTTGGCATTATAATTGAATCTTTCCTCTCTTGCATTTTGTACTACTAGACCTCGGTTGTCGTATTTGTAGAGACCGTCGCCGAATTTAACAATTCGATCCATATTATTGTATTCCATCGGGATCGTGTTACCTCGATACGTAAGTGATAACATGTTGCCATTCGCGTCGTACTTGAAACCCCAGGGTTCTTGTGCCTCTACGCCAGTCAGTTGGCCGTCACAATCCCACGTGTAATTCTTCACATTAGTGTACGTGTTGACGGCGACATTGCGCGTGTATGTTCTCGTCTGATTAATACGGCCGCGCGAATCGTGCGTAAACTCCATTCTGAAAACTTCCATTCGATGAATTGTAACCGTGACCTGAGTTTCCAAGAATCTGTCGTCTGTAGTGCGCGAAAATAGCGCTGTGCCATCAAGCACAGTTGTCTCATTAGGTTGCGGTCTCGTCACTTTAAATTGGCCGATCTGCTCCAGCATTCCTGATCTCGGATTATAAGCCATGGTGTGTGGTGGCAACGTCTGCCCACCTATTCTACCTTGTACTGCAATCAGACGGAAATTCGAATCATATTCAAACGTGAATTTGGCATTGCTCAGACCGGTCTTAGCGCCGAAATCTATACGTTCTTCCACTAGGAGTCCTGCACTATACTGATAATCCCATTTGTATTCCACGTCTCTTTCAGAATGTATCACTTCAGAAGGTAATCCACTTTCGGTATATCTGATTTCACTCTTGCCATCGCCATGAACAACTTCTGCTAATTGACCGGAGGTGTGATATCTATAGACGGTACGAGCTCCATCTCCTGGAAACACGGTTTGCAGCAAATTTCCATCATGACTATAATGCTGCAAATAGGCTCTAGTGCTACCAGGCGGAGTGTATGTCACTCTGAGAAAACCAAGAGAAGCTTGACAAGAAAAAGAATGTTTAGTTTCCGATGGCAGAATAATGTGTCGTAAACCACCATCGTCGTCGTACTGTAACGTAAACTGTCTGCTGCTGGCCAGCGTGATTTTCCACAGCATATTCAAATCATTGTAAGTGTATCGTTTCGTGCCGTCCTTACTGTTGGTAATTTCTGCTAATTGGCCATGTCGGTCATAACCGTACGATTCATCGGAGGCACCCCATTTCCAGCTATCAATTCTATTGAATCGATCGTAAGTGATGCTGAGATTATGACCCTGCTCATGCGGTTGCCAGATTAAAGGTAGACCAGCTGGATCAAAAGTTACTGTCAACAGCGGAGTTCCCGCTTTGTCATAAAACGTTTCGCGGCTAAATGCTTGCTCGAATTCTACGCCTATCATTCGCGTATCATTCACCCAGATTTCTCTGTTGAGTGTTTGCTGGGGGTGGCTAACATCGCCGACCAGATTATATGTCGTCGTCATGGTGTTTGTTAATTCGCCCAGCGACATCAATTGATAGCTCCACATAGGCAACATTTCCGCTTCTACCGGCAAAGCTGCTTCTAATAACGGATGCTTCGTCGTAGCCGCGCTTAATATTCTACCACTACCAGGTAAAAACACTTCCAGGCTGCTGTTTGTAAATGCGACTGCTTTCATGAGCTTAGTACCTGCAAATATTAAATTAAACAGTTTATATTCTCTTTAATTATAAATTCTATTAATAATGATCATAAAATTCAAATATATCAAGATAAGTTATGAGAGATAAAATAAAAATTAATAATAATAATTTGTCTAATATTTAAAATATATAAATAATTTAAAGAAATATATACCGTCAGTAATTGTTAACATCTTCGACTTCTCGTTCTTCATCTTAAATTCTATAATTCGCTGTTTGTCGCCTTTTGATAAGGCTTGCAATGGAGCAGACACTTTAACCGTTAAACCTTCATCGTCAGATAAATCCGATGATAATTTTAATTTTTCACCTGTTGGCAGTATTACATCGGTGACACGTCCTAAACTGTCATAATTGTATATGTACGTTTCATCGCCCTGAAATTCAAAATATTATAAAGTTTCAACAGATAATTTATTTATTATCAAAAAGTTCCAAAATATTTTCTCGCATGATTGAGCGAAGAGAAAAAGATAAATATATTTATTCGATCAAGTTATCTACATTATTGATGAAATTAAATAAAATAGAAACTTCCAACTTACTCCTGATCGACTGGTAAGCAAACCAGTTGAGCCGTCATAACCCAAAGCAATTTCTGCTCTACCACGTTCGGATAATTTTTCTAAGAATCCAACCGCGGAGATCTTCAACTCAGATTTGTGATCCTGAGTGTTTTCGATAGAACTAACGACACTGCTGTAATCTCGTAGAAATTGAATTTTATTACCCGCACTATCCGTCACCGTGGATAATTTGCCAAAGCTCGTGTTCTTGCTGTACAAGAAAGAATAACGAGTCTTTCCGGACGTCAAATCCTTTGTAGAAATGTGTTGGCCATAACGATTGAATACGTAGATTTCGTTCGAAGGCGGGAACGGAATGTGGAATTCTCCGCTCTCGTCATGATTCGGAAGATATGGTTGAAGAGCCAAAATATGAAGACTACCTTGATCGGCAACGTGTAAAATACCATCCGGTGAAACCGCCAGCGCGGATATTGCAATGAACTTGGCATTCGACGATAAAAGTGTCTCAGTGCTGCTGGTATCATCCGTACAGGCGCATGTATCCATATCTTTAGTGCTAGGTGTGGTGTTATTGCACTCGCATTGACCACGTAATCTTTCTTGTTGCTGACCTGCAAAATGCGACATTTTTCCAGAAGAGTCAACGATCCTGATGGAGTTCACTCGGTGAGAATCGCGATCCGCTATATATAATTCCCCGGTTGGACTAAAGCCAACGGCCAATACTGATCCGAGCACTTCATCCGGTTTCTTCAAGTTCGTCGTAATCGAAGAATTCAATTTCGGCAGCTCTCCGTTACTGTTACTATTGCTATTTGCATTACTAGTGCAATGAAGAGGTGTACCAGCAACCACACGCACTTTCAAATCACTGGTGAGTTTCAAGACTAGTCTGTCATCAATAAAATGCAGAGATCCATCCAGTGGACTCAGAGTTAGTCCAGTCGGCCATTGTAATTGAGCTTGGTGTGCGGGAATGGCTCCAATGCAGGGCGCCGGTGACCAATGATTATGATGACCATGATGTCCTACAAGCGTGTGTATAATACCTCGCGGATCAACCGCACGAATGTTCGTTCCATCGGCAATGTACATCGTTTTGTCAGCCGCAATTGCGATTCCTAAATTATAATACATAAGTGACACCTTGTGGATTATTTTATGAATGATTTTTGAATTTGCGATTTTTTTATTTGGAAATATACGTTTGTAATATTTTGTAAATTACTAGAAATTGTTTTAGTGTGTCTTCGAGAGAATAATACAAGCATAACGTAATTCCTTTCTTACCTTTGGGATGAGCCAATTTCGCATGAATGGCTGGTCCTTCATCACCACAATGTCCTTCATCACCCGGAATACATCTTTCGCCATTTCCAACAACGGGTTCGATATTGATACTAGGATCCTGAACTTGTTCGAGCGAGAGGGCTTTCAATATTTGATGCTTTTCGGGGTCGCTGATGTACAAATGCCCATCAGCCGGCGAGATGCACAAATAATACTGATATGCTACTTGAGTCGCGCTATAACAGATTTGAAAAAAATTAAATTATATATCAATTTGCATTGTATAAATCTTGCAAAATTCGAAATTTGATTACCTTAAAATCAAGACAGTATAAACTTTCCCTTCGGGCGTGATTCTACGCACGAGATTGAAATCTCCAACATATATGCTGCCATCGGGACCACTGGCAAGCGCTACCGGCGTCAGGAGTCTAGCATCCTTAGCAAGACCATCGCAATTCTGGCATACTAAGGTTCTCTGGAGACCGGTACCCATTACCACTTTCACAGTGCGAGGATACTGCTTGAAATGGAGAGTAGAACCGTCGCCTTTCTGCAAGATCCCCTCGTGGAAGTTGTAATGGTGATGGATGTCGAGTCCCCAGCCGCCGATATCAGAGATATCGACATCGAATCCTTGCAGAGTGGCCGTCTGCGTTTCCCATATCACTGACGGACAAGTGGAATGCTGATAACCGATCGAGATCCTTGCCTGCGCCACACCATACACCTTCTGCTTGTAAACATTCCTTTTGTTCCAAGCGAACGTGTGCGTCAAATTCGGATCGGCTTCGTATGTTTTTGTGTGAAGCGAGCCCTCGATCTCCACGTGCACGTGTACGTGCGTCAGCGATTTCGGAATAAACGGCCCAGTCAGTTGCATTCTCACTGTAGAGAGATAGCCCGCAGCCTGGCTGCTTTGATACATCAGGTGGAGATTGGAGCCCGGAATAGCGATGCTTTCTTGCACAATCTGCAAGTGATATTTAGTTATTGAAATATTAAATGCGCAGTGCTATAATTTTCGTCATAAATATTGTGCACTTCGCGTCTTCTTCTCGATGTTTTTTTTTCTTTTAATGCAATACATCACTGTAAAAATTGATTTAACATTTTAAGATTGTTGCTTTTTCTCTACTAAGATAAATAGTAACTAAAAATAATTAATATTTTTAAAAGTAATTGTATCGTATGAAAGTTTTATCTTGCAGTAACAGAATCATCAATACGATATTATTTTGATTAACGCGATTATTTTAATTATATTAAATCACTTTCAAAATAGAAATTTACCTGATTTTCAGCAAAGACCAAGCTCTTTCCAGGCAAACCACCAACTTTTTCAGGCATCCATGTGCTAACGATAATAGGTCGTAATGTCTCGTGGTCGTGCTCCAAGCACGGACCATGCTCACTAAAGAGTCCCATCGAAATCCCTGGGAAGCCTATTATATTGTATTCCATAAATGATAAGAAACTCAAAAATATATAACACTCAAAGACGGAACAGAGACGGCACACACAGTTCTGGAAACGAATGCTTTGCAAAAAATATACGCGGATAGATAACAACGCATTCACGAAAAAAGCGATAATATAAATTATATAAATGTTTTTAACAAAATCATTGCAAAGGAAAAATCCGAGTTATCCGCTTTTTTATTATCATTCCTTTTTCCTGCATACAGGGATTGTTGTGATCGAGCACGTACGCGCATTTATCGAAACGTTTGTGACGTACGTTAATGGGTAACGCGATCCAACATGTAACACAAAGATATATATATATATATATATATATATATATATATATATATATGTATCAGACCGACCGACAAAACAAATAAAAATCCTATAATGCACATCCGAGGTTCGATGCTTACCCACTGCCGGGCTCGGCGGCTGGTTAGATTTATACGATTCGCCTTCCTTGCTGAGGATCATCACAACGGGTGGCAGGACGACGATCTGATTCCACGGTACGAAGACGGTCCTCGTAAGAGGCTTGAAGGGACTGCGTTGGAATTGAAGCGTCACGGCGCCTCCGCCATTGACCAGGACGTCGAACCTGATCAAAGTACGTAAATGCATTTCGAGCTCCATTGCCGCTAGTATTATGTAAGGATCCGATCACGTAGATCGATCAAGATAGTGCGCTCGCACTATCTGGCAATGAATGTCCGACGAGACCTTAGAGTTGGAAGCTTTTTCATCCCATCTGATTAGTTCTCTAAGTGTGTGACATATATTCTCATCTACTATGCATATAACTTGAGATGAACGAGACCTTTTTATGTAGAAAAATTCATTTAAACTGCAACGGATAATAAAAATGTGTCTATTTTTGAAAAATAATATATTTTTCTATTTTTTAATTTCTTCAGAAGTTTCGAATTTAGTAAAATAAAGTCATGTCAAATTTTTGATGCAACAGAAATATTTATGAAACAAAACAATAATTGCATTTAAAATATGATTTTAAGAGAAAAGATTTCCTTGTATTATATAATTATGCATTTTATTTATCGTGCAGTGGAATTTTATTTATACGTACTTTGCAATTTCTTCTTTCAAACCGTTCATTATTTAAGTTTGTACCCAGGTTCAAACATACGCTGAGATTTAATGAAGCATAATATCCTTTCTCACATATAAAATTACTAGCTTCTCTTGAAAGTTGGAGCAAAAAGAAATACAAATTCTTTCTCTGTAAATCACGTTTTTGACGAGATTTATAATAGTACTATAATATTTATCATATATCTATTATAGTATAATACAATATTAATCTAATTATGAAGATTTCATAAATTATCTATAATTTTCTATCTAATAGTTATATGTATATTTATAATAGTAATTTTTAAAGGATTAAATAAAGTGTTTTATGAAATTAATTATCTTCTATCTTAAATAATTTTAATACATACTTTTCTGTATTAAAGAGGCAGAAGAAGAAAGATACTTCATATATTTAAAATTTACTTGCAAAAATTCACAATAAAAATCAATATAAAAGCAGAATTAACGGTTAAATACGGTTAAATTATTATTTGTGTGTGTTGTGATCGCATTAAAAAATTCGTCTAAGTTGTAACACGCGATATTAAAAATGCATCAATAGACTAATACACGCATGTTATTCACAATTATAAACATTAATTACGTTTACACTCATAACTGCTGCATTTTGGTCATTGGATTAATGTGAATTAAATTGGAAGAGAATACCATATGAAACAAAGTTTTGCAATGGTCGATATGCGAATACATCTCGACGACCGGTGCAGCGAGAGCCACAAACTGAACATAGTACATAGGTTTGCGCAGAGTAATTAGTAAGCTTTCGACATCATTAGCTCGGGCTTTGATGTGGTCTAGTATCCCAACTCCTCCGCTTTCCTGTTTCAGAATTATTCTCGCCAGAATTACTGTATATCCTCCTCGTCTGATATAGTCGTTCTCGCACCGCCTACCTCCCCCTTTCATTACAATGCAGCCTTGATACTATCGCGCAGAACGTCCAGCTTTGGTTGTACATGTCGTGCCTATCATGTGCAAATGCTAATACAACGACGACGACGACAACGACGAACAACACGTGTATTCATCGCTATAAATTGTAAACGGATGTAACAACGGAAACGGTAGACCGTAATTTTTTCTATGAATCTCTTCATCAGTAATATATTATCCTCAATAATATGACTAACTTATTTTACTCAAAAGTAGTTAGCAATTAACAAATACGGATTTGAGATACGCCTTTAAATGTTCTCAGAGCGCGATGGTAATGCATATATAATAATCTGGATTACGCTCGGTATCCATCATTTACGTTATGGATGTCCGTCATAATCGTGCACAAATCCCTCTTTCAAAACAATATTATGCCACAGTAATAACTACATCGGCTTAAAATTTGAATTGCCTAATTGCCTCTACGTGTGTGCGTGTAATGTTGAATTATTAATATAAATTTCCATTATCCATTATCATATCTATTAGGGACAAACCAGAATACACGCTTAAAATCATTTATATCACATTTATATCATTATTCCAACTCAGGCTTTTCGTCTGACATGTTAACTTATGTGATAAAATATTGGATATTTTTATTTATAATTAATATGCGCACTATGTTAATCGACAAACGATAATCACTTTCAAGCATACTTAATAGTATCTTCAAATTCACTAATTATCAAAATTATGATATTTCAGACTTTTTCAAAGAATAAATAGAAAATATACATGATCAATTTCTGAATAATTAATTCATCATTAAAATCATCATTCTATTAGATACTTTTTATGTATATTATTTTTTACAGTATATTAATTTAATAGAAAAACTAAAAAAAAGTAGTTCTTTAATGTATGTTACTATAATGTATGTTACTATAAATTGTTATTTGAAGTTACATAAAAAAAATCAAATTATGTATGTAGAGTATTGATCCTTACCATCCATCAGCTCTGGTCAAGGTAAATCCGAAGCGCGAATCCCTGTCCACGGACACTCTGATGCCTACTATTCCGAGTCCTTGTTCGGTAACAACTTGGCCTCGCATCACCGCAACTCGACTGTTACAAATTATAGATATATCGAGGTTCACCGAAACCGGATCGTTTCGTCGACCCATTAATCCGCGTAATGCTGATTTAAAACGAAATATTCTTACAATTTATATTTATCTACAATCGGAATGTAATTTCGATCGGTGCGCACATTACAGCAAAGCTATATGTTCAATTTTGCAAAGAGAAATCTCAAATTTTGATAGCAATCTCTATTGGAATATTTATATTATAAAAACAAAATGTTGTTGAGAATCGCATTACAAAATATTTAGAGAGATATTATTATAAATTTACAGTCAATTTTTATTCAAAGTTTTTATTCATGAAAAAAAAATCTTGACAATTTTAGATTTAATTGTTTCCTTTATTATATTTTTGCCATAAGATCTGAAAGTTTGAATAATTTCGCGATCAAATTTTCTGCGTTATGAAGAATAGAGTGTCGTTAATACCCACTTAGTATCCGCCTAATTAATAGGTAATGCGATCATACTACTCAATCGATGGACGACTGGTGTCTTTACGCGAACACGGACGCGAGCAATCGATTTCGCCTGTTAAATCAGCTTCCGCGGTCAACGGTTCAATGCGATCCAATATTCTCACTTCGCTGCCAATACAATCCGCAACTCCATTCGACCGACATTCGACGGCCACGTACAAGGGAAGCTAATGCCTCTAGCTGAATCGAGGAGCGATACAAATTGATTTTACAAATAGAACAATGCCGCGTAGGCAAGGGCTGGCACGAACGGGGGTACGGGTCAGGGAACAGATGGGCGGCGGGAACGGCGGAGGTAGCGGAACACGCGCAGTGCGTCGACGATGCATTGTGCTCGCGAAAATCAGCATTTTCGATAGTGGCGATGGCAGCGAGGCGGGAACATTCTTCTCGGCACTGACTTTCGGGGTTTTCAGAGATTAGAAAAAAAGGAAAAAAAATTAAGAAAAAGGCATAATATACTTCGTCCCGAGGGGGAAAGAGGAAATGGAACGGGGGCTCGTAGGAAAATTAACTCGTGAGAGTAAAAGGCATGCAGTCATGTTATATAGATATGTAATAGGCGTGAGATATATGTAATATAATAATAGATGTATTATGAACTTTTTAAAGGCGGGTTGGAGGGTGAAGGTGCGGGGTGTAGAAGGTAAAAGTTTGGATTCTCGGTGAGAGAAAGTTGGAATATTGAAGCTGAATATTTTAAGCGATTCGTGTAGTGCTGAATATAATGAGATCGATGTATAGATACGTAGATAATATACATATATAATGTATATAGAGATATATGCGACACACGCACCGCGGTCGCATATGTGTATACAGCTTGTTACACCACTCGTTGGACCAGCCGGATAACGAATGTAACGCGGCATATGCGATATGGGCAACGGTCTCGAGCCATGTAACAAACTATATACGCATTTATGCATTTGGTATGTATATGTATATGTATATGCATGTATATATATATATATATATATATATATATATATACATATACATATATATATCAATCTCTCTAAGGGATTGCGTATAGGGGCATATTTGTTCTTGGAGGATCACGCGTATCCCCAACGCTGCGAGTGACATCGATGATTGTATCGTCATCCATCGAACATAGACGACCATTTTCAGTTGTCGCGATTATTGTGCTCGCAGATTTTGCAATCGCATTATGGATCGAAACCGGGATAATTTTATCGCAATTGTTTCTAGTGATTAGAAATGCTGGACAAGATTACGCTCCTATTAATTTCATACTGATAAACTGAAATTGTTAAAAGTAATGTTAATGTCTTATTCAAAATGATCTTCTTTCTATCTTTCTTTAAATTACTATGATTAAAAATTATATATAATATGATAAAAATTATGAAATGATCTCTTAATGGAAACGTTTATTTGAGTCATCGAGAGAACTAGTGATAAAAGTCAATAATGATCAGACATGTTTCAGTTCAATTACATAAGTATTTTGATTCGATGCAAAAATATATATTTTTAATTTTGTTTAATTAAGAATGAAGAGTAATTGGATATTATACACGAAATATTTTAAATTTCAAAATGCAAAAAAAAATATATATTATTTTCCTCAAAACTGCTTATTTGATGCATTTTTAAATTGTTTACTTGATGCGCTTTAAAGGAAAAAATATATTTTTCACTACGTTTCTATCATAATAAAAATAATCGTAAATATTATTTTCACGAATAATCGAAACGCGAATTTGTCATTATTGTGCCGGTTTCGATCGTTAATCTTATGGATCGTGACTTGGGGATCAAATTATGCCAGGCTGGCGGACGCTGATCCTCCAAGTGCGGGCACAGCAAGGTGGCAGGCACAGTCGTCACTACTGTATGTCCAAACCCATAGTGAATGATAAACAGAAAAAGAAAAACGGATGATCCTCAAATGCATTGAAATGTCTAAAGGCAATCGTAGTCAACCTATATGCAGATAACAATAAACGGAAGAAGAGAACGTACAACGCGCGTACCTAACGCTATAAAAATTATTAGATGCGTTATTCTTCATTCTTTTTTTTTTTGTGAACGGCGATATCACTCTTTTTTAACTTTTCATGAGTCTTTCTCTCGACTTATTTGTTTTTTCTTTTTCTCTCTCCACCTCTTTTTCATCGTTCTCACGCGAACGAAAATGTCGAGGACCGATCTCAGAGAAATACCAAGATGTACGAGAGATCGCGAATCAGTCGAAATAATCTCAGTAGATTAGGAAATATTCCTCGTTTTTAATACTTCGCGCCAGAAAGAAGGTGATATCGTTAATAGTAAGTAGAGGGAATCTCGAGGTAGACGGACGAGGTAAAGCGGAGATTGGTTGGATTTAGGTCTCGATTCTTTCGGTGGGTTTCGATTTCCTTGGATATTGGATAAAGACAGACACAGGGTGTTTGGTACGGGGCCATTGGCACATTTTAGACAGGTGATAATAGACGCAGACAAGGGACAAGGAGGGACGGTCCTTTAGGGTTTTTTATCTTGAACTGTACGGTGCCGATTAGCAATACTTGCCGATCCGTCGATAGATAGAACAAAAAATGACATGTATACCTGTTGAGTTATTATCTCGAATTTGTATATCGTATATATACATATGACAGAAAAAGAATAATAATAAAAAAAGAACGCAATAGTCGTTCACGCAAGAGGCGCGCAATAAGGTCAGCGTTCGTGTAAAATGCTAGGACGTTCACTATAAGACAAGTTCGACAGGATGTTACATAAAGTGCAAGCCTGGCAAACACAAACAACACAAGACCAGGTTTTGGTAAGTACACGACTCGTAACATACTATTATGTATATTAGTCATGGCTAACGCATCTAAGGGACAAGAAGACAAGACATAACAAAAAAGGGAGACAACAATCTGACGACATATCACAGATAACACAGAGACAATTCGTACGGTTGACTTTAAATGTATACGTGAAGAGCTGTTGCCCATGGACAGATGCTCGGATGATGCGTACAAGCGTATATTCGTAAGTGAAATGAAAAATGAAGATAGATAATGAGATTCTGTCATAATAGAAAGATAACGGACATATAAAATCTTCAGGATTGAATCGTGGCCATTTCTGAAATATTCACTTCTTATACGATTTAACTTTATTCTTGATTTATTTCCGATGTGAATGTTATATAAAGGGAGAGAGTATGTTCCACACAAAAAGGATTTTAAAAAAGTAGGTTACAGAATATTTGTTATAAATTCGATATCGATGCCAAGAGGATTACTTCTCATTCGTATATTTTTTTTTTCGAAGTCCATAGCGTTTTTATTTGCGCACCAACATATATTCGACTATTTTTATAAAAACATGGACGGAAACCCGACGAGAGATGTACGCGCGCGGTGCTATCTCGAGCGGGATGAATCGCCGCAAAAACCGTTGACGGCTCATCTCCTGTACGTATCAACGCGAGCGTGGTCATGGGGCGCGAAAGTGAATAAAGACAGATAGATCAGACAGGTAGATAGAGGCTAAAATAGAGAGAGAAAGAGAAAGAGAGAGAAAGAGAGATAGAGCGGACGAAGTAGAGTGGTGAGGTGAGATGATGTCGGAAAGAGATGAGAGACAAATATAAGCAAAGTGTAATCAAACACTGGCGAAACGCAAATAGTTTTATAACGAGAAATGATAACAGGCTGTTATGTGGACGGCGTAGAGACAGGGAAGACAAGAAAGAAGAGACAGAGAGAACGGAACGTTAAGAAAGTAATGAGACAGTAGACAGGCTAGAGGTTTGATATATAAATACACATGTGTTACATATTAATGGGTCATACGAAAGACATGTAAGATGAATGTACGAGCGAAACGAGCAATAGATGATACTTTGTTTTTTTTTTTTTTTTTTTTTTTTTTTTTTTGGATAATGAACGATTAGCGAGAGCTTGAGCTGCAACTTACCGCGGTGTAAAGGAACTCCAGAACGTACTACGTGTGGGAAAAACCAACGAGAAGAAAGGGCGTTACCACGGTCACAGAACCCGCGTATGCGGGCAAAAACGGATGCGCGTGCACAGCATTGCGCGAGCAATCGTCTTTCGAGCAATTGCCCTCGAACAGGCTATTCTTTTACTTTTGCGAACGCGAGCGCGTTAATTATTTTCCCGTGATCTGGGACTGAACGATGAGCCCGACTTTTTCCGTCTCCGGCTCCGTTCCGGTACCGGTTGGACCGACACGGAGACTCCGCGAGTGCTCCTCGCAATGTTCCGCACGCCATTACAGAAACAATAGACGTAGACACACACTAATCAAGCGTACCCATCACACACGCGATCTTTCCAATCACGCAACATGAACGCAGTCACTCTCGGACTCATTCAACATAGAGTGGTATACAATGTGACAGACACAAGTTGGAAACTACGCAACGTATACACATATGTATATAATGATATGTAGGGCCCGGAAACACACGAATACCCGACGGGAGAATCGGTCGTATGTTAATACGCGGCGTCATTTCGGCCGGAATGACATCCCTTCCTCCTCATGACGCTGTCCTTAGCGCGGATACCCTGATGCAGCAACCGAGGGAAACTCTTATCAGTTTGGTCTAATCAGGGTCAAAAGGATCGCCCGGACTGACAAAGAGGAGATTCCATCGGCATCGATCTAGGGTCCAGGCCTATGGGACGAGCCTCGAATATTGATTATGTCCGAGCAACCTTAATGCCAATCTAAATAGTTAATTCACAGTAAGGCGCTTGTATCTGTGAGCATCTTTCTTATTTAAAGAGAAATATTTTTTAAAAATATCATGTTAATATAAATAATTTTTCAAAAAAGATATCATAAATGTTCTAATAATAAAATAATAAGATTTGCCTGTGAGTGTGTGTCCGTGTGTGAAATTAGAAACAATATTAAATCTACTACTGAAGTATTTCCGATATTATTTAAATTTTAATATAAAATTTGCAAGTCTATCAAAGATATTCCTCTTAAAAGGAATCAATAATTACATTTATTATTTGAAATTCTTTTAAAAGATTACTGTATTTAAGAACTGGCTACAATACTCGGAATAGCAATCAATATTCTAGCGAAATTACGAGACATGAATGAAAACAATATTTTAAATGTTTGATTTCTGGAACTCTTTACGACAACATGGACCTTATTATACGCACCGTATACAAAGTTTCGTGAAGCAAAAAGAAGAAAACGGTACGAGAAATTTCAAACTTGTGTCTACCATATCTAGAAATACTTTTACGAGTGGGCGAGTCACGGCGCTTGTGCTCTTTGACATCGATAGCTCTTTGCACAGACTTTCACAGATAATTGCAAATTCTCGTTAAGGGAGTTTTGATCTCTGCCTGTCTGACTCAACCATTCGTACTCTTTATCTATGAACTCCTTTCTCGTAATCGCTTAACGAATTATTGGCCAGATTATTGGTGTCGGAAAGCAATTTTGAAAATGTATCTCTGTCCTTTCTTATATATGAGTTAGTTATATTGCGCGCAGGCCGAGTACTGTTATACTTTATAACGAGAACGAACAGTGCCTAGAGTACATTAACGCGTGAGAAATGAATTAACTAATAAGATAATACAAAAGCAAGTCTCTAGCATATTCTCGTTATGCAGACTTTCGTCATTCAGTCCGTAGGCAAAACGGAGCCTTTTTTCGGTCTTTGGCTGTAGGGTGATTGGTAATCTGGTGTTGGTAAAGGGTTACACACAGAGGATAAACACTAGACAAAATACACGATTCCTCCGAAATGCTTGCGTGGCCTCTTCCAATTGAGCCGCATATATATCGATAATTATTTCTAAAATGCCGAACAAAGGAACACTTAAAAAAATCATATAAATTTTGAATAATAAATTATATTTAATTTATATCTTTAAGTGTAAAAACAGTTCTTTTAGGCCCGGTTCCACAACTCGAGTTAATCCGCGTTTAATACGTTAAACTGGGCCCTGATTGATCCATTCACTACTTAAACTCGGATTAACTGGATTGTGAAACTGGGCCTTAATCTTTTCTATTTTTCAACTTTGAGACTCGATGTAAATAAAATATAAAATTATATACATATTCGCATCAACGATTATACCAAATATTTAGAAACGTATCTCATGCAGATTCTAACTATCTAATGATAATTTTTCGTAATAAATATTTTCTTGCACATTAGACGAAGATAAATATAAATGTCATCGATTGGAAATACATATATAATACATATAATTATTTATTTATTTATTTATCGATATAACACTTAATGTTTAATTAATCTCAATTATAATGAGAGTTTAGCTAACAAAAAACCTTTGATGGTTTCGAAGTAATTATCGATACAATTGGCATTCGGAGGAGGGAAAGGGGTGAAACACTAGGAAAATGATGGTTAGAGGGTTACAAGGTGTCACCCACCGGGGGCTCTCTTGATATTTCAGCTGTCACGGATGTGGATTCATGATGACGATTCGATCAAATTTTTGTAGCGTTCAATGGCCGGTCACGATGGGGGAACATCAATTTAATAAATAATTAATAGCAGCATATATGTATATATATATATATATATATATATATATATATATACACACATATATACACACATTTTAAAATTATTTACGATTTTGTAGCGTTTGTGAACCAATAGTTTCGACGTGTAACGTGTTTCATCAACGAAATATTATTTACTGTTTATAAAATAACAATATCAAAATTATAATGATTATTGAATTTATGAACTACTTTGACGTCATGCTCGCACAACTATCTTTTTATTTTCATTCTCACTCCGTTTTAAAACAAAGCTTAATATGCAAATTCTTTTATATTATTTGATTTGCTATTTTGCACGGCTTTTATATAATATTCGTAGCATTTATTAATTATATTTCGCAAACATGAAATTTATGTGTTACATCTCTACAATAAATTATGATAAAATGAAAAATACATCGTATCCGTATTCAAAGCTGAAAATATATTTTAATTAACTTTGTTCCGTTCACGCGAAATTATTGGTGCGCGTTTGTTGTGCACATATATTCAAGAGGATCATGTAAGAGAAAGTTATAATAAATATGAGAAAATATGTACCCTCCATCGTAAACTGTTACCACAAATTGAAACGCGCAAGTTATATAATCGTATTCATAACTCGATAATCACGTGCAGCGTGACGCGATATATTGTATTTTCGCGCATTAAATTCGTCAGTCCTGTAAATTGCAATTTGGACATTAATAACGCTTTTTAGAACGTTCACTATACATTGCGAAGGCAAATTCACGGCGTGCCGTATTAAAAAGAACGAAAGTGTTCAACCAAACACGATGATACGCGTGTTTCTGACTAACGATAAAAACGGGAAAAGTAATGCGCGGTCGTATGAAAATCGTAAAAAGGCCAAACTATGACACGCAGCTATGCTATTTTATCTTCATTAAATGTTATATGTATAACGTTTACGATCGACCGAGTCGTTGCCGCGTTTATATTTCTCCAAAATGTTAATGCAAAAAACTCTACGCAATGTGAAAAGTCTGTCGAGAATGTTTGAAAGAATGGCGAGTTCTCGGTCGCTCGAACGTTCTCCTCACTTATATTATGAAAGTAAGAGACTAAAGCGAATTCTAATTCGAGTTTTAATTTGTCCGAATAGAAATGATCGATCTTACCTTTCCGTGTACTCGTCCATGTGGGCATAGCTCTGCACGCTGTTCTCCTCGACGAGGAACTTGACTCGTTGATAAAAGGACGCCGTGACGCTGGGCGGTTGTTTTCGAAGAAGAACGTCCACAGGATTATTACTAGCAAGGCACATGATATGTTCTGAACAAGCGTCGTGCGAGCAGCACTCGCTGTCAGAGCAGTCCATCATGCCATCTGAGGAAGATGATCTGTTAGATATCTGTTCGAGCGCGTCTCGCTTTTGATATGGATTTTCTATTCTTTAAAGAAATTCTATTTCCTGCACTTTTATTTTTAAAAAACTCAAAAATTAATTAGAAGAGTATAAAATAATTTAAAAAAGTAAGACAATTGTAACAATAATTGTAATTTACGACAATATGTTCGTACTAATGTTTATTCTACATCTGAATATTGTTATATATTTAAAACTATATTTTGTCGTAGCAATATATATTATTTCAATTCTCCTTTCAAACTTCACAAAAAAATATTCATTAAACATGGATAAATAATGATATACTGTTAATTATCAATTTAACAAACAATTTAAAAAACAACTAACATGGCTTAGACTTACCTTCATCATTGTCAACATAATCATTACATTCCAATTCGAGTCGTATGCTGCAATCTCTACCGGCCCATCCGGTCGAACATTCGCAACTATATTCGCCGTCCTGTAAGGTGCATAGTCCATGGCGGCTGCATCCATTTTCGCATCCAGCTATTTAAAAACGAAAAGAAATAGTTTTCTTTAATAATTACATTTTCAATAATGAAAATTGATTAAGTGCATTGATATCGTACCGAAAATATACTTTTTTATCGGAGAATTTATTATCGATTGCAAAATGTGTCTCGAGCAAAATAAAACCCTGCTACTTATTCAAAACATAATTTGCTACTTTACATACGTAATGTGCAATGCCTTCCATTCCATCCTTGACTGCATACACAGGTTCCATTTTTGCACTGGCCATGTTCGGCGCAACGTGTATCGCATGGTTTTTGATCGCATTTCGTTCCAGTCCAATCGTCATGGCATCTGCAAATGTATAAGTATGCTTTATATTTTACAGATCGCGATTATGGTTTCCTCGATTGTACTTTAATTTTCATTTAACACAACTGAAATGAAGAACAATAAGTATTACTCGCGTAGAGAAATGATTCGGTTTTATTACGTTAATCGCGCCGGTTATTCTGAAAAGTTACGCAAATGTTCCTAACAGGATTTGTTATGTTAAATGGAAGTATCGCTGAACGTAAAATCATTTCTCGCCGTTTATAGCGGTTGCAATAAAAAATGCGAGTTTGAACCGAGTTCCGAAGTTGTTCTGCCGTCGTGCGGAACTTTTTGCACTTAGAGCCTCTTTTACGCCAACTCCCGGGGATGGGACAAGAGGGGTAGACGAAAGGCGTCAGCTTTAGAATATGAGAAAGGAGAGATCCTCTCCCGCGTCCTTGATTCTGACAAAGGAAAGTAGGAAGGGACGGTCCTTCGAGTTGTGATAAGTTGGCGCCTCGTAAGACAGAGCCTTTTTCTCGCAATTTTTCACCTTTTTAGCCTCAACTTTTGTGCTCGCGATCACGACGAGCAATTTACTCATTTTTAGGCTATTCTTCGCCCACATCTATTCCACGATATTTCAACGTCCCGACGAAACGTTACTCTTTCTCCCTTTTTCGACTCGTGCGAGCGAATTACTGTTAAATGCTCACGACATGCTTCCCTCGTGCATTCATCGTTGAAAACTTTACAACGTTTCGCAGTCTTCGCGACATTACGATAATCTATTTCAGTCGTAAAAGTTGCAAAAAGCTCGCACATCGTACTCTATAAAGCACAGAGCGCGCGTAAATGGCCGCCACGTCCGCACAATTCCGCAAATCCCCCGCATTAAACAATGATCTCGCGCGAGGTGCGGGCGTCACATGGGAGAGAACGAATCGAGGTCGCGTGGAGAATTCCTCTAATCCGAGAAAAACGACCGGGCGAAGGGACACGTGTCACTTTTCTCGTTCAATCCCGGCGAGCGGCTGCTAGCCGTTTGCGCACGGCTAACCCAATTCCGGAATCCCGGTCGCAACGTCCACGAAGGACCCATAAAGGATGCCGATATACAAAGGACGACGTATGTGAACAGGTCGTGTGTATACTGACTTGCAGCGACCCTGCTCGCAGGATCCGTGAGGTCCGCAGTCCAGACCGCAACTCGGCTGCGAGCAATCGACCCCTGTCCAGTGCTCCTCGCAAACGCAGGCCGCAGATTCGAGGTCGTACGTGCCATGATCGGAACAGCCGGGCAGACACTGGTATACTTGCTGATCGACCTGATTGCATCGCTCACCCTGCCAGCCGGCCTTGCAGTAACATTTGCCGGAGACACAGGCACCGTGGCTGCTACAAGTCGGATCGGAACAGTCGGCTGAAATTCAAAAGAGAGTGGATCGATCGCGCGATGAGATCATCGAATTTTTCAACAATTTCAGCGCGATTCAGAGTCTTCCCGTAAAAGTATAAATTTCTCGTTCAAGAGTGTACGAGCCCTCCTCCCCCCTTCCCGTCACATCCCTTCAGTTATCAGCTCTTCTCCGTTTCTTTGCCTGCTCGTCACGCCCGAGCGCCGCTGATTGCGTCCATGGCGTGGACGAATGGACCAACTTTTTAAATTATGGCATCGGAACAATTGCATTATTCCCGCGGATCCCACCTGCCCCGGGGAAATTATGAAACTTAATTCCAGAACGTCCTCGGCGCGGCGGCCTTGCGTCCGTACCGCGTTATACGCGGGATGCAAGAGATGAGAGAAATTCCTGGCGGATTCTTCTTGCATTATGTATGCACGACGTTAATCGAATGGGATCATAGATTTGTTCGTTTTCATTAGAACCTGACAGGTGCGTTCGCCGTTACATGGAACGCAGGAAATTGAGCGTTGAAGTATGATACTATTAAGCATATTTAATTATATATACTTATGGAATGCTTCTCTGAAATGAGCTCTATTTGGTAAAAATATCGGAACATCGATTCCCAGTCACGAGAGATAAATAAAGAAGCGATTTTAAAAAGCTTTCCAAAAATGAAAATAAAAAGCATCGTATCTTAATTGTTATAAATATAACATATAATATAAATATAACATAGATCACGCTATCATTCTTCGATAAAGTTAAAAAATAAATGGAACGATCTTTTTTATCAGATTTAATAAATTCTATAAGCTTCGCCTGTTAGTTTCCATTTACGATTACCGTTGCGACTGATGCAAATCGGTTTCGCTCTTTAAATTTATTGTTCCTACAATTGGAGTTGACATATTCCACTGACGTGGAATTAATACCGTTTTCGTCTACGTTTAGGAAAAAGCGACGAGTGAGCAGATCTCTAACGAGGACCGTGAGAATGTCAGAGACGAAGCGTCTCGTACCCGGCGAATAATCTCGTCATTTATATCGTATGTCATTCAGCCTCGAAAGTTCCGAGAGTGCGAAATTATAAAGTATCGAACGCAGCTGCGTATTTCACATGCGCGCGCACGCGCGTTTATCGTGTATTATTCAAATTCTCGCAAAACAATATGAAACTAATTGTCGCGTTGAATTGGCACGGCTTGACCCATATGTAAATTTAGAGAACTCCGCGTGCATTAATTACACGCTGTACACAGGCCGGACTGTGTTCTCCACCAACGGGGACTCTGCATTACTAATATCTTGAATCCCCGGATAGAGAACCAGGACGTACGCTTGAATTATGGGAAAATTAATGGTGTTGTGACAAACATGAAGAAATAACGCTCCGGGACAGAAATAGATGTTCGAGGTAAACGTTCCCGCCGGCAACTTCCGCTAAGCCGTTTTTAAAGCTAAAATACGCGCACATTTGCAGTGCAACATCATCGCTCGCAAATCGGGTTCGAATATTTTCAAAAACGAATCTCGACGAAATAAAATCTACTCTCGATATTTTTTAAATTTTCCCTTCTTTTTCACATCGTGTAGAAAAATCAATTTAACAAAAAAGTCAAGCAAACAATTTATATCTCATAATTTCCGGGTACACATTAAAATTTTTATTAGATGCCTTTATGAAATCGAGCATCTTTGTATATTATGTGCATTCCTAACTTACGTTCGTCGCAAAAGGCGCCTTTCCAGCCAGGATTACAAACGCAGGATCCTCTAACGCATTGACCATGCTGATTACAATCAGGAACTTGACAGTCACCTAACGGTATGTCACATTCGGCACCTTTCCAGCCCTCCTCGCAATGGCACATGCCACCACCATATTGTCCATGAGAGGAACACAAAACCGGACACACGCTTTTGCTGCAATCAGCACCCTAAAACAATCGCAAGATTTTGCATCCTATAATTTCCAATTCCAGTAATATGATTAGATAGTACATTTGCATTTGATAATATTTGCGTTAGATAATGGGTTATTCCATGAGAACACACCTGATATCCGTCTATACAATCGCACTTGCCAAGGTAACACGATCCACGTCCGGAGCAGTCGTTGGGACAGGTAGTGGAGACTCCTTCCGCTTCCGTAACGACTAAAGTCACCTTGTAAGGCTGCAGTTCATCATTATAGACAGACAGGAACCAGTCGCCGGTGTCGAAATATTGCAGCAGACTGACGTTGACCATTAGCGGCTCCACGATAGTTCTCTTGATGAGAACGTGTTGATAGGACGTGGCCGGTTGCGCCGTATGCTCCGCGTGTACGTCTTGCGAGCTACCGGACTGCATAAAACTGACGGCCTCGGAAGTCACGTCCCTCTTTAGTCTGTGAACTACCCTGCCACCCTTCACGAACTCCACAAAGTCGTATTGCGTGACGCTGGGCGCAACGTTCCGCCTGCCGTACACGGCGAAATTCGCACCCCACGGCAAGGTCAAATTCAGCCTGATGAATGCCGGCTGCTTGTTGCGGAACTCGGTGTTCCAAAAGTGGTACGGCGGAATGACGGCGGAATGGGCGACGTTGTAGGCCTGCAGCTCGAGCACGGCCGGCCATTGCTGCGCAGATTGTTGGATCTGCGGATCGCTTTGTTGATCGCCGGCGCTATCTGCAGCGCTGGAATGTTCCGCTGTGCTCGTCGGTAGAGATTCTGCGAAAAAAAATGCAAGGGATGTGATTGACACATTGAATAATACGGTGATTTAATTCATGGAAATGAATTTATGAAAAAAAAAAATTTATTTTAAAAAATTTCTTTTATCGCAATAGTATTTTTATAATTTTATGTAAAAGAAAACTTTTATTCCTCCGAATTATACCATCACATCACGATCTGCATATCATGCATTTCTATACAGAGATTTATTTGATGAATAAGCAACTAAAAAGAGCAATTTATATTTTTATTTCTTAATGCATTGGTCTTTTAAAAAAATATTTTTTTATTGAAAGAATTTAATTAAATCTAGAGAAGCGTTCACATTATTTTTTTCTACGGTGTTATATGTTGCTTTGTTCCAAATCTATCAGTTTATCTTTATATCACGCGCGTTACATTACGCATAACTCGTATAATTCAATTGCTCAATTATCTTTCCGAATTGATGCAGTTTGTAGTTTGAAATCTTTATAGCGGATGACATTTGAATGCGCGACGATATAGTCTTCACTAAGGATATTATATCGATGGAACGTTCATCCACTCGCGCTTCCCAAAAGCAATTACCGTGTGACGCTGTACGCGAGAGTATTTACATCATGCAGAGTAGATGCAAATTAATACCGCTCGATATTTACCTTCTGTGGGTATCTGCGTGGATATCGAATCGTGAATGTGTGCGTTTTCGTGAGTGACAGCCTTGATATCTTGAACCAGAATGCAGTTAGTACTGTCTATCGGACGCATTGAGCTCACTGCTGAAAAATAAACATAATAGCTATCCTAAGATGGGAGTTTATGTTTGCGGTTTGATGTAAAAAAATTTCCGTATAATATTTATAATTCAATATCTATAACTATTGCAAATATAATGTAATAATATAAATATAATATTATTTATTAATAATAAATATTATCACAATATAATAATATATATAACAATATGAACTATTTATTGTTAGTAATGGCATTAATTATTGTTACCATATTATAAACTTTCTACTATTATCATTATTATTATTATTTAAGCAACATTTGGCTTTACTATTCAAAAAATTATTACAATATCATTGAAAATAATTAAATATTAGAGATAATTAAATTTGCATTTTCTATGCTTTAACGTATAATACGTTAAATACATTCACCTTCAAAAGTTTTTTAATTATGTTTATGTTTAGATAATTATGTTTAAACCTATATTATGCGCTAGATAGCTCACAAAAAATTTTAATAACTTTGGGAAAAAAAATCCAAGTCTTACATAAAATTACGCATAGATAAGTATTATATTTGTAATATACGATGCGTATTCTCTGAGCAACATAATATTGCCATGCGACGCTTTTATAGCGTCAGGAATCAAGAACGGCTTTAGTAGGACGTCTGGGAGCAGCCTAATGGGTTCATAAATTCGTACAATCGCTTTCGAATTACGATGGTGCACTAGATTTTCCATGACAAGTCGACTTTTTTGCTCGGGTAGCTTTTAAAGCAAAGTATCGTGTAATAAGTTCGAAATCTTCGAGGAAATATCACATGCATGATATTATTTTATGAAAAATTTTGGCCAGGTGCATATTGCAATGTTTTATTGTTCATAAGCTTTAATAAAATAGCGTTTAATTTGATTGTTGTTTTGATCAAAATAATTATGATATAAAATTATAACAAGAGACAACAAAAACATTTAGTATTAGCTAATATAACTCGAGATTCAATCTTATATTGATATTGTATAACTCAAGTTATCTCTGTAGTTTTATCTCGAGTTTCCCCATTTATATTAATGTTTTCTAGCGATAAGTGCAAGTTCGTTGAATTTATAAACGCCATGATAAATTCGGCAATAAAACCCTTATCCGTGGCAGGATATTGCGGTTTAATTAATTATCTGTCTCGTGCGCCGCGAGCGTCACGAATTAATTACGCGGTTTAACGAGAGTTTTTAAAAAGGGGCAGGACCCTGCAACGCAGCCCCGCAACTAACGATCTCTTGGCTTATCAACGCAACAAAACAGCGATAACGCATAATTGAATTCGCGTGTTATTGCCGCACGGCTGATTTGACAAATAGCGATTCGCCGATACACTCGGCGCTTGATATTTAATGGACGCATTTTCGCCTGCCGCGATTTATTGTATCGCGAATTGTATAAGCTTTCTGTCGATAATAGCACTCATTATCGCGCACGCTCATGCGCTATTTCTAGTGGGATCGGTATTGTGATTGTTATTATTCTTCTACATTTTTACTATACACTACACACACAAACGCGTATATAAAAATAATGCATCGAACATATATAAAGTCATAAAGAACATACAACAGCAATTATAAGCTTTTATAAAAGAAATTATAAGTATCAGTTAAAATTTAATATTTTAATATACGCAAAAATTTATATTTAATACACCGAAATCTATCGAATAGTTTTCGCAATAATTTCAAATTTGTTTTTCATCATAGAAAAGTTTACCGGCAATAGTCTTTTACAAGTTTCTTCAAGGTAAAGGAAGCTACGCGATACATACCTAAAAGTTTTCATATACATATGCGTTCTCACGCAATCGATACAAGAAAACGTACACATATACACGCACTTCAGCTTGGAGATAGACGAAATGACCGGAAAAGAGCGACTATTCCTTCGGGATCGACGTTGCTTGGCCGCTATGTAACTATCACTGAAATTGAGTTGCAGTGAACTGTGAATGACCTTATTTCGCATGTACGCCAGTCAGCGTTGCATCGTTTTCGTTCCCGCTTCATGTCATCGTAGCTCAACAATTCAACTTTCCACTTCATATATACTGGGTACTCGAAAAGTCGTGCATTCGTTGCCTTTGGAACATCAAACATCCAATACTAAATTAAGAAAAAAATAGTTAATATTGAAGATATCTTTTGCCAAATCAATTTTTTGGTAATATGATCATACATACATCTTCAATTTTTTACTTTATATTTCGAATAAATTTTAATTCTTTTTAATACTTTAATATATTATAAGCTTAGAGAATCCTAAAATATTTAATGTTAAAAACTAAAGCTGAGATATAATAAATTTTTAAAATAATTTTGAATTTATTAAAATAAATTAAAAATTCAACCTAACGCCAACTGCATGTTTTAAAACCTTGTATATTTTGCTACAAAGGCAACAGTGTGAAGTGAGATTATTTTAGAATTTAATATATACTCTCGGATCAAGAGACCGTCAAATTTTGGTGATGGACTATCGGAAATTTAAAATGTCTGTAATGCAAGTTGTGGAAGGGTCGTTGCACTACTGTCTACCCCTTTGCGGGGATAAAAAGAACGAACGCGTTTGTGAAGGACAGCGGGCATGTTCACGGGGCGCGCAAAGGAACAACTTTTTCAATTATATACTCCCGGATCGATAGAGCGATTCATTCCCGAGAATGATTCCCGGATTATCGTAGGATTATCCCCCCATCGGTCCGTTCTACCGCCCACTTCCGCTCGCGTATGTTATAATGAAATGTTTACAATCGATCCGTTTACCCTTTCGTTCCGATCCGCCGAAGCGTGAGTCCAGACACGACAGCGTTATCGAGCCGCCTACAATGTCGCTATTATTGACGAGTTAACTACTAATAGCGTAGTAATAATGTAATACGTTTTCTCACGATATAAAAAACAAGCAAATTATAGTTTTTTAATAATAAGTATTCAATTAAAAGTGAAAAACTGTTTCAATATCTATCTTAATATCGGTTTTAATAATTGTTTTAATATGATTATATGTATCTCGATACTTGTTAATTATAATTAAAGAATTTTAGCAAATCAAGTTTCAAAAATAACGTTGTAAATGCTTATTCTTAAAAAAATAAGACACGGTCGTAATTTGAATATAAATACGTGTATTAAAAAGTTGCAGATTATAATTTTTTTTTTAAGTTCAAGTCCGCTTAAGAGCGATTGTCGCGAGAATATTTTTATTAGTAAATGAAATCGTGGAGGGAATTTACATCATAGTGGTTTGTCGCGAAACAATTTTGGCCCTAAGGATCACGAACGAGCAAGCAAATATACGTCAAATTACCGAAAAGCAAAGCCACTCGGGTGCATACAAAATCCATGCGTTCTGAAGCGAAGTAAAGAGATGAAACGAAAAGAAAGGATTTGCGTAGAAAGGACCTGCTATGTTTGTGTGTGCTCGCGCGTGTACGCGTGTTTGCGTATATGGCGCGACTGGAGAGTAAATGGATCTGTATGCGATCGTAGCCAGAGAAACGCGAAGGACGGAAGGGGACAACGCAGGGTTGGCGCTGTTGGGGTAGTTTGGATGCAGTAGCAAACAGGCAGATTGGATTCCAGACTCGATTTACTGGAATGCAGAAATAACAGCTGGCGAGCAGTCTCCTCGAGACCGAGAACCGACTTTGCAATCTTCCTTCTTCTCCTTTCTCCTTCTGCGGGACACGCTGAACGGAGAAAGAAAGAGGATATGAACGAAGTCCAGGGGAGGATTGGAAGAAGAGGATAGTTTCGTAAGAGAGCGTAGGGGGAGACGGATGGAGAATGTTATATAGAATCGCGGGACACAATGCGGACCCAGCTATCCTCGTATTCTACCCTTCTTCCGCTAAATCTTCTTAGTCCCTGTGACCTCGGATGATAAAGTCTAATACGTCTGCGAGACGGACCTTGACCGTCGGTTGGATTTTCGGATTTCTCGCGGAATGCAAAAACGCGATTCGTATGGCGGCAAGAGAGAAGGAAATAGGTTCCTCTGTAGAGCGCTGATAACAGGCAGGCATTAATTTCCTTAATCGGACCCGACGCCATGAAGATGCAGCGATGTTCAACCCCGTTCGCGCGTATCTTTAGCCTCGCACCTCGTTGGCTTCTACATTAGCATAACAGACTTGATGAAGTCATTTCTCTGAGTTCTTTTTGTAACAATAATAGCCTGACGTAATACCGAGACGATATTTTTTTAAACATTTTTTTAACATCTTAACGGCATGGATCAACGAGAATAATTTGTCTAATCAGGAATATTTTTAAAATTTACAATTACAATAACGGCAAAAATACCGCGTTGTCTTGTTTAACTTCAGTAAGATATCATGTTTGTATATATCGTGAGATTACGCTGTAAATTATTTACGTAACAAAATTTGTCAATATTAGCCATTGGGTGTACCGGGTGTAGTACGCTGTTAGTTGCACGGCTATCGATTTGTGCGTCGAGTAGGCCATTGCCCCGCGAAATGCTTGATTCGTTTAGCAAAGATACATATTTATAATCTCTGATAATTTGTTGTCTTGTTTTCTTAGCGAGTATATAATTAAGCTTGAAAATGTTAAAATCGGTGATACGTGGAAATGATAAAGATACATTATTATTGTATCTCTGTATTTATTGTATCTCGTATTGTTATCTCTGAAATGAAATATCTTCTGTGTCTTCTATGGGAAGCCGTTGTTAGATACATTATTAGTAAATATAGAAAGAGACGTGTTATCGATTCATATAAATTCAGTTCTTCCCCATGCCCATTCGACGCGCTACGGTTTGTAGTTTCTGAACTATAAGCATTATGGATAAAACGTATCCCATGCCATCGAAACGCTTCCTTTCTCACTATCGACGAGTAATATTTCTGCCTCTCCCTAACCGGATGGAGCCAACCATTCCATGTTAAATGAACCATTACGCTAGCAATGTTACGCTTGTATAGCTCCTCACAGAAGATCCGGACTTGCTGTGGAACAGTATTTAATTTTCTCGAAGGCGACATACATCCTTGCTTACGTTATCTCATTTGATTGCATTGTTCACTACACAAAATGCGAGGATTCTGTTCCAGAAACGTGACAATATAATAATTGGTTTTTAGTTTTTCTAAAAGCCGCGAATTCTATTTACGTTATTTTACTCGAAAAATAAACTCCATTCTGCAGATATGATAATAATAATAATAATTCAGTAGTGGAAGTTGAATTTAAAATGAAAAATAAATTGATTTTACTAAAAGCAAAAATAAAAAATATCTTCATAAAATGTTACTTTTATGTATTTTATGTATTGCATTTCTTCATTACGTAAAAAACTTCTTTGACATATTTATAACTGAAACATCGTGGAAATAATGCCTTTGATGCTGCATTTTGGAAGTTTATAACGGTCCAGCAATATCCCTTTGTAACAAACGTTTCAACGTAGCGCAAAATAAAATGGACTCGCGTGTTTTATAACCCGAAGCTGCTTCTGTCGCAAAGAAACACCGTAAACGTCAACCGTAAAATAATGCTGTTGTAGCAATGTTACGTGTACCGTCGTTGCAAGAAAAATGTCAATGTGTATCGTAGGTATACAGTGCGTTTTGCGGGCGCGTATAGCACCGTTACAATGTAAAATATTTCGGATAGTTTATTCTCCCTCGAATTTGGTTGAGTCTTTTGTGCTTTTTTTCTTTACTAATTTCATGTTTCGTTTATTTTGACCGTTTTTGTTTATTAAATTTTAAATACATTATCTAAATTGCATATTTGAGTAAGAGACTTTTATTTTAACGCATTAAAAGAGCTGCTGTCATAATTAAAATAAATAATTTCCCGTTGCTTTACCCTTACATTGTTTCTTTATAAATGGAGCAAAAATATAAATTAGGCGCATTCTAACATTTGCGAGTCTCATTTGGTCATGATTTACATGATTACGCGAAATTCGTCATGCCTTTGCGAGGAATGTTATAGTGTCAGTCATATATGTATAATCCCCCATTGCATATAGGAATTAGCATGGTGCAGTAATGCCGACGTTCCGATGGATTTTAGCATTAGGTGGGTTGGGTTCGTCGTAACCAGATTTGCAAGTTAATAATGAATTATTGTACCGTGAATTTCGGGTCAGCCAGCAATAGAATTGTGTGGACGCCGGCGGCGTGTTACGACTCGGACGTGCGCTTTGGGACTAATAAAAACGGCTCATTCAAATTTACGCCGAGGTAAATATTATTTATGGAATCGTTGTATTAAATGGCCCCTCGCTGTCGTATATTACAAATACAAATTTGACTATATCTTTAGACAGTTTAACCTGATTGTTAATCTAATTAAATATTTGTTTGTTTCAAAATTAATTGCCGTGGAAAATATAACGAAATTACATCGATTGAAACTTTTGGCGGAAGAGATTATTTTAATGTTATAAACATTACATAATTACTTACCAGCGAAGTATGCCAGCATTGCTGTAAGCGCCACGGCCAAGAGTATCAGGGCGATCGAGAAGCATTTCCAAGAGCATCTGTGCTGACAACGTTTATCGATGTGAAAGCGCGACGGCGAATACGGGGAATAATGCGGCACCGCTGCGGCGCGAAGTGGAAAACCCGGCATCACCATAGCTTGGCCTTGCGCGCCTACTGTAGCGGTACCGCCATTTCCGGCACCACCTAAACCGCCGCCCAGAGAACCCACCGTCACTTGCTGTTGCGGTGGTGGAAGCCTGAAACAATAAGCAATAATCGATGTTATTAAAATAGTCTGAGACGCAACGTGAAAGTTATGTCACACATGTTTAATACGTTTAAATCAAATTGTTCGCGGCTCCTTAATGATTCGATGCATTAATAATTAGGAATCGAATTATCAGATATGACAAGTAGGTCTTGGCGTGATTGCAAGCGCAAATCAGAATATAGTTAACGTCGATTAGCATCTCCCACGTATCTCTTACTGTTGATTATTAGTTAATTCATGCCGATACGTATCGATCAGGTAATAAATGGAAGGGTTGACTGTACATACTCTAGTCGATCGCTTGATCCGAAACATTGCTCCAAGGGCGATGCGTATCACCGATAAATCGACAAACTGGTATCTGTTTTGACGCACGTGTGCTTGCGGAGGCGGCAAACGCCGGCGAGCTACATGAACTAGGAGATATGCGTTCGGGGATGCAGATAACGCATTCCCGGAGCTTATAAAACATGCAGATACCGCCATTAAGCTCGACATTGACGGGCCGCGTGTGCGTATCATTGCACGAGACCCATGGGCTTTCGGAGAATGACATTCGCGTGGGTGACAAGGTTAAGGCCCTTAGCCGTCGGACCCGTGTCAAGAATTTTATTTTCATCATCGACGATATTTATCTTCGTCCCCCCATCGAGGGACTGGGGATAAGCGTGGTCGAAGCCGGCCGGATGAAGGGCCAACATCGAAACAGAGATTTAATATGGTGCCTAGGATAAATATAGTTTTCCGATAATCATGCGAACTCATGAATAGCATTATGCGCACGCCATAATGTATGACTCGTTCCGCCGTGGCCTGAAATCCCGTAAGAATAACTCGATTGACAGTACGTTTGGTAGGGACGAGAGATATAAAGGGAAGAGCGAAGAGGGAGGACTAAAGCGACCAAAAAAAAGGAAACAAGCGGGAACTTAACAATGCGCCGCGACGCCAATATTGGATTTTCCGCTTAAAAATTCACATGGTATAAAGCCTCTGAATACGAGCTCGGCTGGTTAAATCGAATACTCACGAAATCTTTTTCAAATTGGTTTTACACGGGTTCGGCGAGAAAGCAGTCAAGGTATTGGACTTAATCTTGAACTCATCGCCTTAAGAAAATGTTTCACTTTCATGGTACATATAGACGAAGTGATTTAAAGTGACTTAAAGAAAAATATTTCCGGAATATAATATACATGGTATGTATATTTGATCAAAGTTTTTCTGTGTGGAAAAGTTTTTTTTATTAATTACGCTTATTAAATAAATAAACTCTTTCTTTATTTATCCAGCATAATCAAGATTAAATTGTTTAACAATTTTTTTCTTACTGTATAATTTTAAAAATACATTAATAATTTTTAAGAATAGCGGTTTAAGAATTTTTACCGTCTTGTAAATTGTAATTTTTTATCACTACAAACACAGAAAAATTTCATACTCGCATTTTTTTAGATGAATTCTACAAACGAAGATTTTAAATATAAACTGAGACAGAAATATGTTTTAAAGGTCTGAAAGACGAGCGCTTTCCTTCCCTTTGAAGAAATCGTTGAGATGTGTCGTATGTCTCACACAGTTTATAAGTTGCTTAACAAATCCAGTCCGACAAATACCATAAATAATCGTGCTTAGATCCTGGCGCTTCGTGATCTTATAAACGTCTGCTCATATTTCCCGGAGCAGGAAGCAATCAGACACGACATGAAAAAATATCACTGGCAGAAGTCCCGTCGTTCTTATGCGGCGTAGAAAAAAATAGAAGATATGCAAGAGAAGAAATCCTACGTAATAAATATTACTTTTTCCTTGGGATCATCAATTTAGGAATAGAATCCGCAGCATAAAATTAATTTACTAAAAGTATTAGCATGCTCGACATTTGGCAAATATCATGGGAAAAAAGCTTAATCGTAAAATAATGGAGGTTTCTCTGAAAGCTGGAAAATATCCAAAAATAGCCTTATTTGAACTTTGAATTATTTGACAAAAAATTAATGTGTGTGAAAGGACCTGCACTCTGAAATAATTCAATTGTCGATGAAAAAGTGTGTAATTTAATAAAAGATATAAAAACTATATCTATAGAATTTAATTCTCTTTCTGTGTGAGGTAAATATTTCAGTTTTCCCACAGTTTCTTTTATCTATGTTTCATCAATACAAAATAAATTTTTCAAAAATTTAATAGAGAGATTGATCTTTTTACGTGTAAAATAGTTTCGTGTATAATGTAACATTTTTATTGTCGATATTAGTAATTTAAAATTTACTCATATATATGCAACTATTGCTGATTAGTAAATCAAATTAATTTACTGGCATTATTTTTTTCGCCTAAACAAATTAATTAACTTAGGCGATTAATTTACGATGCGATTATTTCCGTATCAAATTTGACTATCCAAATTGAAGCTTTGGGAGTTTTTCATAAGAAATAAATTTAGCTTCTGGGTCTCTCTCTCTCTCTCTCTCTCTTTTTCTCTCTATCTCTATCTCTCTTTCTTTTCTGGAACCTTTGGACAGATGTACGATGTTCCGGCTGGGACAACCAGATTCTTGATTGCACGTAACAGACAAATGAAGCAAGGAGAGTAACTGAAAACAAGATGAACGACGAAAAAGGAGAGACAGTAAAGCCGGGATTGCACTACGGAAGAACGGAGTAAGCAGCAATTCGGCGTGTTCACGCCGTGGCCCCTCTGCAAGGCGGGTTAATCCATTTGTGCGAGTAAATCGGTTAGCTAAAATTGGGTTATATTTCCTAATCGATACGATGGATTAAGTTACCGGTCGGTCCGTTCTCTAGCGTGTCGGTCACGATGCATGGCTCTTTCTTCGCTAATTATCGTTAATAGCGCCGCAAAGAAAACGTGAGACAAATATATAAACCAATGCTTTTGCAAAGTTACATTATTATCCTAGCTTTGTAACATATTTAAATAATATCGATAAAACTTTGTCGACATTTCCAATTATAAAAAAACATCGCGATACATGATAAGTCTGGAGTTAATATATTTTTCAATCCAATTTTCAGTTTATCGTATAAATTTACCAAATTCCATCGAGATTGCTGGGTTACTCAAAAACATATTACAAATTTCAAACGTCATTCCCGTTGATTCGAACGGTTCGGTGATTTTTCTTGTGACAGCTTAATCTAACTCAGAGACATAAACGTAAAGCTAAAGCGAGAAGTTGCCGCGGTACGACTTTTGGAAAGGAAGTTCGAAAACGTGCACGGATGCTCCTTTAGCCAATGTAAAAGTAGGTCGAGGAGTACCGAGTTTGATCGTCAGCAACCTGGCCGGATTACGCAGTTCTCGTTGCTGCGAAGTTAAGATGCCCCTGATCTAAGTTAAGTCGTAGTCCAGTCACGAAAGGACATCACTTTAAGCAGGTAGCTTCTCTAACTAGGCGACACGATGGTAGATGTAAATTGTATGAATGTGTACACAACACCTTCACCGATTAAATCAATTGGACGGCTGTCTGATATATTGAAAGTTAAAGAGGTAATTGCGAGCGGCGTTGCTGCCACATATTGAGTCGAGTGTCGTCTGAGTGGAAGATTGGACTGTTTCAGTTGTGCGAGCTGAGGATAGGATCGAGCGTGTGATCCAATTATGATGTAACGCATGTTTCATGGTGGTAATGATTGTGAGCGGTGAGTGTCATACACAGTTTCTACGCCATTACAAAAATTTTTATCGCGAGTCCTTCATTAAGCATCAATGAGCGACAGAAGGTTCTTTGAGAAAAATAGAAAACACGACGAGTCTAAATGTCAATTATTCTATTATTATAATATTAATCCAATAAAGTGCAATTTCTAGTAATTTATATTTTAAAATTTTGTTTAAATCTTTCATCGTTTGGATTATATAAATTTTAATCTCCTTCAAAGTTCAATAAAACAATGTTCAATGGAACAATAATATTTGCAATATGAGATACCTATCTCTTTGCATTTTCAGCGTTATGAGAGAGAAATTCCATTCCATCTAATAATAAATACGTTCATTCTGAAATCTTTAACGTCTATCGTTCTCTGTTCTTCTGTAAATCCTCCTGTCCAAAATTAAACTAGCGTATCTAACATCTAAAGTGAGATATCTATTCTGTAGTAACGTTACTCCGGTAGTCTCCGGCCACTAGAAAACATAATGGGCCCTTCCGAAAAGGGAGGGCGTGAAAAATCTCAGAGGCCGTTGATACTCGATCGTTTGTCACAAGCGGCGCTTATCTGCGATCTCTCTCGAGGAGATCGCGCGTCGCGCAGACGAAGGCGTCTTCAGGTGAGACGATTGTCGTGGAAGACACTACGGAGAGCCCCATAGGAGGTATATACACGTAAAAAGAATCCTAATAAAAATCTGATACTCCCGATCCGCGCTCGAGTCCGCTCCAAACGCGCGTTTCAAAAGAGAAGATAGGATGACAGAGAAACATACAGGTAACGCGAAGCGTCGCAGTTGAAATTGAATCCCACTCTCAGATGAAAAATTACGATCGTTTCTGACACTGCGCCCGACGGATAATAAAGTCTGCCGCCCTCCCGGCCATTGTTTCGCGAGGGCACGTCAACGCGTAGCCGCGCCTTCCGACAGCCTGCTTTCTCGCCGTTAGCGCGACGCTTCTAATTATTAATTTCGGCCTTTTAATATTAATTAGACTCGCGCGATGCGCTACGCGCCGTAATAGAATGGCGTGATTACGCCGAGATTATAATTTTAATCGCTCGATTACCGCGCTGAGAGAGAGAGAGAGAGAGAGAGAGAGAGAGAGAGAGAGAGGGAGAATCGTTTCGCGCCTGACTCCTAAACGTAGGAGGCTGCGGCGACGTAGCTCTTGCATGCGCACATAATAATAGGTGCGATACCATTGAATATTCAAAGAGCAATGCGTCTCTCTCTCTCTCTCTTTCCCTCTCTCTCCCCCCCCCCTCTCTCTTTCTATGCCTCGAAGGCGGTATTACAATTTT